TAAATATCTGAGTTTGGCACCTTGGACGATCATCAATATTTTGAATTTGAATTTTGGTGCTTCTCGACATTTTAACTTTTGACCTCTAACTAGTTCACTCTTTTCCGTTAACTAATTAAAAAGCTTCTATCATGCATCCAACACTCGCTTAACTAATTAAACCTTGTGTTAACTAGTTAAGACCTTTTTGTTTGTCTTTAGTGTAGCACCCAGAATTGCTTTAATTGATTAAAGATTTATGTTAATCGGTTAAGACTAATCTGTCTTCATTAAAACTCTTTTTTTTTTTGCTTGTTTGACCTATTAACCCATCTTACAACTGAATAAACATCTTGACTTGTTTTTTCATGCACACTTAAACAATATAATTAGACACCAATGAATGGGTTTGCTTTGTTATCATGAAAAACATATAAGTCAATATTCTCTTTTTTTTTTAAATTTTTTAATGATGATAAAACACTCCTAGATTAAGAGTGTCTTGTCTATGTTCAATATGAATGTTTCAAATCTTTATGCATAATGAGTTGCTCCCCTTTAGTCAATGCATCTAGTTTTTTTTAAAGATTTGCAATAAAATATTTATAATATACACAATAGCTAAACAAGATATTCAATATCCATAGTAGCTAAGCAAGATATATTGAATATCCATAATAACTGGTACATAATATTCAATAAAACCATAACTAAGCATCACACACATAAATAAAACATGAAGTCTATTAAACTCTATATAGCTTAGTCTTCCTTCTCTCCTTTTTCGCTATCATTAAAAGTGATATTCGAAACTTCCCTTTAATGAGTGCATCTAAATTTTTCTTTAATTTTTAAATTAAACTTTAATGAATGAGAATTATAAGCACTCATATACCTAAGTCATAGAAGCTTATTGATGTAGTTTAATAATGTCAAGCATCAAGCTTGTAACTTTGTAATAACAAAGGTATGGGAGTTAAATAATTTTAAGAACTTGTCAAGGATCACTCAAATAATGTTCAAGCAAATTTGATCATTTTGTCATAATCAAAACTATAATAATTTTAAAGCTAACATTTAGGCACCAAATTCAAAATCCAAATTTGCTCTTACCCCCTCCATCTTTGTCCAATCTCCACTCTTTTCTTCTTCTTCTTCAAGTTTTTTTTTTCTCTTTTTGCAACTTCAAGATAATGGGAGCTAATAACACTTTAAAGGTCAAAGGTCATGAAATTATGAATTCCAATAAATAAATTCTATGCAGAAAGATTGATCTAATGGGATGCATAAAGATGCATTACTCATATAAGAAGAGTCAACTAAATGATCCAACATGAATGATTGGATAATAATCTTTATTCGATGGAATAAATTCAAAGTAGTTGAATACATTGAATAAGATAAATATATTTTGTGCACATCATAAGGTTAGTGGGAGTAAGATAAATTACTCATTAAAAATGTATATGATACAATTGCTAATCTAAGAAAAAAATAAAATAAGACTAATCAATTAAAGTCTAAAAAGGGACTCAACAAAAGAATAGAAGATAACATGTTAAAGGAGTTTAACATAAAGAGAATTCTGAATGTTAAAAGTGACATAAAGTTATGATTGAGCAGTTATATTCGAATGGTTCCAAAACAAGAGATAATTGTATGATTATATCTATAATCGAATACAAACCTTTTATTTAGGCTACAAAAGGAGACATATTTGGATCATTTGTTTAATAAACCAATAAATGATTTCAAGTTGTTAAAGTAACAATAAGAGCCATAATAATGGAATCAAGGTCTCGTTGTGATCTAAATTAGTATTTCGATTACGACAATGGAGATTGTCAAACATATAAATTAACATATTTCCAAATATTGTAATTTGAGTTGTCGTAGTACAGACACAGTCACTAAGTGAAAGAGTTCAATATTGGATACATTAGCAATTGACTCAAGTGCAAGTGTGAGATTGTTGGTATATACCTTTGAGGCAATCGAATTAGTCAATGAATATATATTGTCATTTAATGCATACTTAATCGCATAACTAAATATGATAAAGGTTTTTTCTTTATGTTAGTGTAATAACAAAGAGTTATTACGTACTAATTGGATGAAATCCATGAAATCCATGAAATCTAAAGGCTTTGCAAGAGAATTATAAAGTTGTTACAATTATGAGATCACTATACATCAAAGCCATGTTCCTAAAATTTTTCTTGATCATTGTATTGTTAAGACAAGACATTGACAAAACTCGAAGACTAGTACATGTAAACTTTTTTACTTAGAAAATAAGTAATTGATCACATAGACTGAAGTATATGGATTACTTGAAGATAATATGTGGATGCTTGTTAAAGAATAAGTTCACTGAACATGACCCTCTATAAGAACTCTATTTGGTATTTTACTCAAGTGTCTATGAAATATGTTCTCATATGATAGTCGTCCAGCTAGTCCTTGGACTTAAGATACTAAGTTTTCTTGTATGAGAAATGACATATTTTGATTTCACCTCTATGGGTCTTGAGGCAACGAGATACCTAAACAAAGTGTTTTTTAGGGATGCCATGAACGATACAAAAGTGGATGAGTGGTCAAGAGATGATTCATCACTCCAAGTGATATGAGGAGATGTATTTCACTTGTTTTCAATTCTAGATTAACTTGTATAAAGTTTTTAGCCAAAGCATGATGAATTTGAGAAAAGTTAATTTTCTAAATTCATAAAGTTAGTCATGAATTATGAGAACTAATATGGGATGTCATAAGTAGACATTGAGCTATGCTTTATGACATATTAGGGATATTTGATGAAAGGTTCGTATTGCACTAAAAGGTTTATCATTGAATGGCTTTGTTAAATTTTTTAATTGACTCTCTAACATTTGGATGGTCATGATATATTGTTATATGCCACTCATGATTTATAAATATAAGTCAATTATTAAATTGATATTTGATTATGATTTATATTTATTTTCAATATGTTAGAAGCCTTATGGATCACACATATTAAGTAACATAATTGAGATTAAATAAGGATAATCAATTAAGTTTGGCTTAATTACAATAGACCAAAATAAAGTAAAAAAATTATTTAAGTTGACAAGGACTTAATTGAATAAAATACAAATGTTGTATTTAAGGTTGCAACTTAATTTGGCTATATAAATATGTTATGTTAGCCAACTAAAATAATGATGAAAAAGAAAACTTTCGGCTATTTCTTAGTCGTTTCATGAAAATAAGAAAAAAAATTTCTATGTCTGATAGAAACAAGACTCGACAATAACTTTTGATATATTTGGTTTTAGAACAAAACTTGCTAGCACAAGAAAAATTCTACCTTTGTTAAAGTCTTATTTGGTCATTGTGTGGATTACTGTTAGAAACTAAATACTTGAGTGACTGAAAATTTGACAAATCCTAAAACTAAAAAAGTAATGATTTCGACCGTAGAATTTCAAACTGACTTATTCTTTTTTTTTTTGAGTTTTTTGCTTCGTTACAAGCCTTTTTGGATTTAATTAGTTCTTAATTACAATATCTAGAATAAAGTATGTAATACTTAAACTTATAAATGTTCATAATTAATTTAAAAATTATATAAAAACACAACCATTGATCTAATGGGATTTGATGGTTTCTTTGATTAAATGCATGTTTTATTTTTTCACTATATTATGATTTTAATTTCATATTTAAGTATGAGGTCGATCCCAGCATGTTAGTAGTCTCTGTTATTGTAGACCTTTCTCTTTTCGCTAAGGCGATCCTTTTTTTTTTTTCGTTCACCGAGACATAAAGAATGAAAAAGTTGGAATAGCTCAACAAAAGAGTGGCACTTAGCCATTGAGAGCATGGGTAATTCAGTTATTTTCTGACATTTGTTAAGAGTTTTGAGATGGAATATCCATTTCTGAATATTAATGCACATAAAATCAGTGGCGAAGTCAAAATTTTATATTTAAAGGGATGAAAATAAGAAATTCAATATTGGTAGAATGAAATTATATATTTTCTTTAAAAAAATAGAGAACAAAACTATAAAATTTATAAAACAAACAAAGAAAAATGATTAAATTGTAAAATTTTAAGGGGAGTGAAGGCCCTTACTAGCACCCCCCTCCTCCGCATTTGCCTACAATGATATTGTTTGGATGTTCTTTTTGAAAATTTGATTTTTTGTCTATTGTTTGAATGATACTATAAAAAATAATTTCTATTACTTGGATGATTTTATAAAGCACATTTTTTGTTTATAATTTGTAAAAAATAAATGTTATATTTTTGTACTTTAAAGATCTAATTTGTATAAAATTTCAAATTTTATAGATAACATAATATTTAAATTTACTATCATTTAATTTTTAATAATTAAAGGTTTTTATTATTTATTAATTTTATAAAATAAAATAAAAAATAAGGGATGAAATTAACCATAAAATGCAACTTAAAAACTTAAATATATTTTATGACTACTTAATATTTATGATAAGAAATTTTCTTATATAAAAGTAATGTTGAAAATTAGCATCACATTTTAAATAAATATTTTAAAATTAAACATTAAAGTATTATATTTTTAATATTTTAATCGATATTTTCTCTTATATAACAAACATTGTAATATTATCCTTTCAACAATCATGTTATGTTATGTAGTAAGATATCAATGACCATCCAAAATAAAAAGTCAAAAGAATATAATGAAATGTGGCCGACATTTTTTTAACAAGAGGTAAGGAAAATGATGGAGCGGGCGAAGGGAATATCGGGGAAGCCACGTGTTATCCTACTCTACGAAACAAAAAAAGAGGATTTTAAATTGTTAAATTTGCAACGCAAGCCCCCTCATCCAATTATAAAACGACACGTCAGCATCAAAACAGCCCCCTTGCAGACCCACGGTTTTTACCAGATCCAACGAGCGCCAGCTCTAAACCGGCTCCGAGTCGAGCTGCGAAAGTAATAATCACGACTCGGTTCGATTATAAAACGGCGCTTACTTTCACTAAGCCAACACTCCATTGTCGAACTTTTCAATTCGAAATCGGAACAAATGATTCTCTCAGTTTGCTGCGTTTATCTTTAGTCCCACGTGACTCTCTCTCTCTCTGTCTTTGGGTCTCCTTTTTTCTTGTCCAATCTTCTGCATTTTGAATCTCAAATCAGGTGCTTAATTTTACTTGTTTTAGCTTTAATTACTTGGGTTTTTTTTATCTTTAATCTCTTGCATTATGACATGTTTCTTGGGTTTCTAACTCACATTTTTCTTTGGCTTCTCCGTCGCTTTCTTGTTGAATGCCTATAAAATCATGTTTAGTAAAGAAGATTGCTAGAAAAGCAGAACCAATTTTCGGCATTTTCTTTTCCCGTTTTCTGTCGATTTGGGCTTTTTGTCTTTTTATTATTATTATTATTATTTTTCCTTTTGAGTAGAGTGGAATGCTGGGCTCAATTTAGTCAATTTTGACTTAAGAGAGTGTTGATTAAAGATTCTTCTTCCAAGCTTATTTTTCTGAAGTTTTAATCTTATTTTTCTTTGATTCTCAGCTGAGGATTGATAGAAAATCTATCAAATCAGAGCCGCCATGGAAGTAGATGACAAGTTTCTCAACATGGGTTTTCTCATAGTAGCCACTCTCGTAGTGGCCAAGCTCATATCTTTCCTCATAATGCCTAGATCCAAGAAGCGGCTGCCGCCAGTAATCAAAACCTGGCCGGTAATTGGTGGCCTCCTTCGATTCATGAAAGGGCCCATCGTGATGCTCCGGGAGGAGTACCCAAGGCTTGGCAATGTTTTCTCGTTGAGTTTGTTTAACAAGAAGATAACTTTCTTGATTGGGCCTGAGGTTTCAGCACACTTCTTTAAGGCTTCCGAATCAGACCTCAGCCAACAGGAAGTTTATCAGTTCAATGTGCCAACTTTTGGCCCTGGTGTGGTGTTTGATGTGGATTACTCAATAAGGCAAGAGCAGTTCCGGTTCTTTACGGAAGCCCTTAGAGTTAATAAACTCAAGGGTTATGTGGATCAGATGGTCACAGAAACTGAGGTAAGTGATTTGCTACAGATTCGGTTTATGTTAAAATTACTATTTCTGTTGTTTATATTTTGTATATTACTATTATCTGAAAACCCCGTATCTGACCCTAATAAATAAGTGACTCTTACTTGATAGTGTTGTATTATGATATTCTGACAAGTGAAATTGAAGTTTTGACCAACATTCTGTTTCCGGTGGGCAATAAATGAACCTAGTAGAATAGCTGCTTTGTGTATTTCATTTTGGGTTATGTGGACTTGAGATAGTGAACTCAGGAGCCTTCTTAGGAATCTGCATAACTGAAGTTTGAAGTATAATCTGCACATGCTAATAAAGCTGTTTTGAATATTAATATTTCTGTCTTAATAATCAAGTGGCCATTATAGTTCCAAGTTGTTGTGGTTCATATATACTATTATATCTTTCCCCTTTCTTTTTCCCTCCATGAGTAAAAGAGAACATAAGTCGGCTGGTTATTACATGATGATTGCCTGTGAATAACCCACTAAAGTTTAAACATTGGACTGCTCTGATGAATACAATTTATGGGGAAATAAAAGGATGATAAACATTAGGTACATTTGGGAGTCAATTGACACGTTAGTGAAGAAAAACCTGTGACTCTTTTACTGAAACTAAGGTTTCTTTTATGGTTCAATGTTACATGTGTTCACAATGTTGTAACTCCATAGTTCTGATTTTTTTGTCCAATGATCCTGGAATTGGTGCAGGACTACTTCTCAAAATGGGGGGATAGTGGTGAGGTGGACCTCAAGTATGAGCTGGAGCATCTAATCATCTTGACTGCTAGTAGATGTCTCTTGGGTCAAGAAGTGCGTGATAAGCTTTTTGATGATGTGTCTGCACTCTTCCATGATCTTGACAATGGCATGCTCCCTATTAGTGTTATCTTTCCTTACCTTCCTATCCCTGCTCATCGCCGTCGTGACCGGGCTCGAAGGAAGCTTGCAGAAATCTTTGCAAATATCATAGCTTCCCGCAAAAGTGCTGGCAAGTTAGAGAACGACATGTTGCAATGTTTCATTGAATCTAAGTACAAAGATGGTCGCCCAACTACTGAGGCTGAAGTAACCGGGTTGCTCATTGCTGCTCTCTTTGCTGGGCAACATACCAGTTCCATCACCTCTACGTGGACTGGTGCCTATCTCCTCCGTCACAAGGAGTTCCTATCTGCTGTGGTGGAGGAGCAGAAACAACTAATGCAAAAGCATGGGAGCAAGGTTGATCATGACATCTTGTCTGAGATGGACACCTTGTATCGGTGCATTAAGGAAGCCCTGAGACTTCACCCCCCACTGATTATGCTTCTACGAAGCTCACACAGTGATTTTAGTGTAAAAACCCGAGATGGTAAAGAGTACGACATCCCAAAAGGTCATATTGTTGCAACATCACCAGCGTTTGCTAACAGGCTGCCTTACATCTACAAGGATCCAGACACATATGATCCCAATAGATTTTCTGTTGGGAGGGAAGAAGACAAGGTGGCAGGGGCTTTTTCGTATATTTCCTTCGGAGGTGGCAGGCATGGTTGCCTTGGTGAACCGTTTGCTTACCTTCAGATAAAGGCTATATGGAGCCATTTGTTGAGGAATTTTGAATTGGAGCTTGTGTCACCTTTTCCTGAGATTGACTGGAATGCAATGGTGGTTGGCGTGAAAGGTAAGGTGCTGGTTCGATACAAGCGGCGACAGCTTTCTGTTAATTAGCTAGATAATGCTTGTGGGTAACTAGCGGGTTTAATTTATCTTCTTTAGAATGTTGTTGCCCTGTTTTTACTCTGTTTTTGAACTTTGGTATATTTGTTTTACGTAGAGTGCCCTCTGGATTCTATTTATAATGGTTTTTTGTCTATTTCTAGAATATTTATGATTAGTTTATAAGCAAAGTTTGGTTTCGATGTTGTGCACCTGTTGGGGTCCTTGAAGCAATGAAGTTTTTATTAATCTTGATGTTAATTGGAAAGCGCTTGATGGTTCTGTTTTATGCATACTTACTAGAATTGGGCAGCCAGATAAGTACCATAGATTGCTTATTGCACCCATTGTTTTTGATATGTTGAAACAACCGCCACTCTCCCAAGTAGTTGATTGGGTATTCAAAAGGAAAAGCAGGTAAGGTAGTAAGTTATAGAGCTTGAATAATGATTTTGCATTCTAGTCTGCGGGCGGCGACAAGTTCTGTTTGTATCGGAGCAAAACGACTAGTTCTGAACCAACTAGTGCCATTGCTGTGAAATTGAAATAAAGCAAGAAATAAAATGTTGTAGGCAGTTAGGTAATAATAAATCTGATTATACTTTGCGACATCACGGTTTGTGCAACCTGAGATGACTCAGTTGACCTTCATTCTTGGCCTTGCTCGCACTGCACACGATTCCTAAGAAGCTTGGCCTTTCATTCTGATTATTATTGGAGGCATGAGGTAAAACTGTTTCATCTACCCAAAAAGACACTTGAAAAATTCATCATGAGTCAAGGATCTACATCCAGAAAACTTTCTGACTCGAATTGTGTTGCGGGGAGGATATGACTCTGCAACGTGAAAGATTCTAGGAATGACAAATTTTTCCACGTGTGAAGAGGAAACCAGAGTTCATCACTACTAGCAAAAGCAACAGTATAAAACCGTCCTTATATACACGTTACAAAAATTGACACTACCACGGGGGTCTGCCAGACCTTATCGTTTACTTGGCAACACCAAGAAACGTTAAAAACCAATTAGCATAGTGATCCTTAATTTCAAGAATAACTAGAATTTAGTGAATAGGACAATGGCTCTCTAGTTTCTTGACACAGATCCTCCACGTTCTTTGCTCATTGTTTGCAATATTTTCTCCCAGGATGGTTAACTTTTAATCTCGGTATCGAGTATCCACAGTATCAGAGAACCTCCCTGGAACGAAAAGGTGTCTCGTGATTCATTGTCATGATGAATCCATTACCAGCCAAAAACGATAAAAGATAACAAAATTTCTAACCTCAATATATATCCAGTCTCTTAATGTTGTCAGTGAGATGGCAACTTTTGACCAGAAATCAATTTGGAATGATTTTAAGGAGCTCAATATCAAACAGTAGAGTCTTGTCTATAAGCCCTTGGTTCCTGAGCACAAAATCCAAGGCTCGTTGACCCTGTGGAAGGCATCAAAACTGCATCATGTGGGTAAAAGACCATAACACAAGGTATCACCGAAGAGACTTGAATTTTACCGAGAAGGTTGTTGGTCTGGGGCCACTTTTGTTGAAGTCATTTCCAGGATATCCCAGTTCTGGAGGCACTATGATCCTGCATCACTGTGAAGTGAACTGTGAAATTTGAATACAATACGCTCACACAAAAGATAAATGACTTAATCCTGATTTTCTTATATCATAATCAAGGGAAAACGTGCCAAGTATCTGGCATCAACAGGTTCCGGAAGTTTTATAGCTTTCTCATAAAGTGGACTGCGCTGAATTCTGTGCTCAGATTGAGTAGAAGCAGTGGAATGCATTTAGAAGCATTGATCAGGCATCCTTCTCTTACAGTATGCTTTTCTCTTGGTCATCAGAAGACTTATTTGTGACAGATGATGTTGGTAGCCACAGAAGATTTTATAAAAGAGTATGAAATGGGTGAATAGAGCTAATAAACAGGTTCTATGTGTCAGAAAGCAGCACAAGCACCTTCTAATGCCACCCAGAGCCATTCCTGAAACTGCTTCCTCAAAAGCTGGAATTACCTAAATAATTGGAACAGGATGAACACATTCAAACTCTCCATTTTGATTATCCAATTTGTATCACTGAATTGTCTTCAACATCCATCTAAATACCAATATGCAGTTGCACCACATAAAAGGAAAATAACTCAAAAATTTTAAAAAGGGAGAAATATTAACTACTTGAGGAACATGTGAGACCATAAACAAGCATGAATTTTAATCATAGTATGTCATTCCGTTTTAGAGCACAAAAACTAAAATGAAATTAGAAGTGTCTACTACATTCCTGAGTGGTAAGGACAACACTATGTTCTACAACTACTCACCTCTTGGGATCCAAGTCTGAATTTGAAAAAGTCTTTGTCATCTCCCTGCATATTTTAAAACAGATATAATTATGTTTAATCAACTAATACATAATGACGTCGAGTATTAAGATGAGAAACATTATGTACCACAAAGGAACCGCCTTTTGTCTTGTTTCGAGCTTCAAATATGCGGCCGTAATATCCTATAGTGTAACCATCCCAATCAACCTACAATATATAGTTCATAGCTCATAAACTGCTTGAACTAGCTAGGACAAAACAATAATAATAGTTGTGCACTAAATTTGTAGATACAAAAATTATGTTACATTTTCATGTTAAGTAATTGAAATATGATCCTGCGCAACCCGCAAAACTCCAGACTCAATAATATTTGAAGAGATCCCATATGGTTGTATTAACGGTTCTCTTAAGACTATATTGTATCATAGCATAAAGGACATAGGCCGTTTAGAAGGATCTATTTAGGTATCGCTACCATGATACTATGCTATTTTTAACCAATGAGTATCTTTACATTGTCCAAAGGTTCATCCCAGCAAATCAAAGTAGCTAAACAACTATTGAAATTACAAAGAATGCTCGTTACTTTTAAGTGAGATCAACATATTTTATTCTGTCTGAAATTGTCATTGTTTCAACTGGATGCTTATTCTAGATCAAAAATTTGGCTGACAAAAACAATGTACTGTTAACATGCTTTAACCAGTATTTACAAATTGTTACATACCACGACTGTCTGTCCCATCTTTGGCGTAGGGCCATCCCCCACCCGCAAGTCCTACATTCTCATCAAAATTCTGAATAAGAATACACCAATTAAACTATGAATTTTTGAACAGATAACAATGGATATTTTTCCCTTAAATGTACTCCTAATAATTGACCTTGTACTGAAGACCTGATTCGGTTTCTGTGTAGTCTGGAAACCGCATTTTCGTCTTCCCATAATCCTTTCCCCTAAGTGCTGGCACTGTTTTTCCAAATTCCAACCATTTTGTGTCAACTAATTAGCACAAGAGTAAGTATTTCTTATCACTTTAATATTCACCATGTGAAAATTAGTAACAAAGAAGTAGACTTAATTGGTGAAATGCATAAAAAATAAATTCAAATTGATTTAAAACTCGGAATTCTTGATAAAGAAAAAAAATTACTGTCTGTAAATCCAGATGAGGCGGCCATCGCTATTCCATTTTCTTCCTTGGAAGAATCCCAGAATGCTCCAGCTACTAAGCCCACCGCTGCTATTACCACTAATTCTCTTCGCTCAACCAGCTGAGATTGTTGTTGTTGCTGCTGCTGCTGCTGCTGAACTGTAAGAGATGCTATGGGTCCATACCGTCTCTGAAATGAAATAACCAACTAGCAGTACATTTTGCTTTACCATAGATCATAAACTTGGGCGTTAGAATTTATGAGGAAATTGATGCAATGACGGAGAACTTACCCTGGTCGAAGCTCTTCCAGAGAAAAACGTAAGGGATTGCGGCAGAGATCCAGCTACTGAAATTGACGCCATCAAACTATTTTAGTTCCGTGACGGAGGAAAGCCGGTTAGGGAGAGAAACAGAGAGAGTTTCTACGCGGGAAGATGACGGCCTCAGCTTTTTGGAGTGCCTTCTACGGTTCTGCCCCTCATATTTATCGTCTTTATGGGACCCCGCTACATTTTTTTTCCATTTTATATGTGGAGTTTGTAATTTAGTATTTTAAAAAAAATTTAAATTATTTTTTAATAAATTTAAATAATTTTTTATTTTGAATTACGTTCAATTATGATTTATATTTTTTATTTTAAATTAAATAATTTTTTATAATTAATAACAAATTAAGTATTATTTATCAAAATATTACTTATCATTTTATATATTTTTATTTTAAATTAAATAAATTTTATAACTAGCAAAAGATTAATTATCTTCTGTCAAAATATTATTTATTATTTTATATATTTTTATTTTAAATTAAATAAATTTTTATAATTAATGAATGATTAATTATTATTTATCAAAATATCTCTTATTATTTTATATCCATATAATGCTTGACTTGAAAGGTAAAATATATGATTATATTATCATATCACATTATCATCCAATATGTTACATGATATAAAATAACAATGATATTTTAACTAATAAGAGTTAATCAATCATTAGTAAATATATTGTTAAAGTTTTGATTTTCTTAAAGATTTGATTAAACTTTTTTAGAAATTATGTATTGTTTGCAATCCGTTTAATGTTTTCAAAACTGCTAACCAAAGGACTAATTGGATCTTAACATTAATTAAAAAACACAGGTAAGATCCAAGGACAGGGTTTTATGAAGAAACATTGGACCATCAAATTAGCAACGTTGATCAAAATGTTACCATTCATTTAGACAAGTATAATGTTTGACATTCCCACCAAGAACCACAAATATACTGGTATCATACCCACAACAACACATCAGCAACTTCATGATCAGCATGCAATAACAACTTATAAAAGAGACTCAATGAAGGGCAGAAACAAGCACAAATTTAAAATTTCATTAAACAAGCACTATCCCTTTATAATACATTACATTCAACGTCTCACGAAACGCTCACCAACTAAATTTACAGCAGGAACAAAGGACCTGCTTGTTTTATTCAGTTGCAGTGTCAGCAAAACAAGCATATCACAAGGCCTTTACAGGCTAACCAATTTAAGAGAGTTTGCCTTCTCTTGCAAGGTGTCAAGAAGGCTGTCAAAGCTCTTCTTGAAAGCTTCAACTCCCTCGTCTTCGAGCTGTGAGCCTACATAGCCCCAGTCAATCCCCAACTTCTCAAGTGCACTATATATGCCTTCAGCTTCAGACACATTTGTGTCAATTGTCCTTGACACTGTGCCATGATCGATGAAGGCTTGGAGAGCTTGGTCAGGCATGGTTGAAACCTGCAACAGCACAAATGACAACAACGAAATGAATTATTATTCAACTCAGGTTCAAAACCATGTCTTTATTCAAATATTTGTTCAACATGAAGATAGCTCACTGTATCAGGTCCAATTAGAGGAGCAACGTATAGAGTGTCAGGGTAAGCAGGGTTCTTGACACTAGTTGAGGCCCAGAGCAACCTCTGTTTCTTGGCACCCTTCTTCACCAAAGCCTCCCACCTTGGACCAGAGAATTTCTTCTGGTAGAGCTGGTATGCCAGAGCTGCTTGAGCTACCGCAGCCTAAAAAATATTAAGCATGCCACGGCGTGAGCAAATCTTGACATGCAGTGCAATTAATATTCAAAGTGTAAGAACATGTACATGGCAGTTTAGTCACCTTTCCTCGGAGATCAAGGGCCTCTGGTGTGCCAATCTTTTCGAGCATTTTGTCAACGAGAGTGTCTACCCGACTGACAAAGAAGGAAGCAACACTTGTAACCCTAGAGAGATCACTCAGCCCAGAAGCCTCAAGGCCATCCAAGTAAGCATCAATGACAGCTTCATATCTAGCAAGTGAGAATATGAGCTGTGCATACACATAAGAAAAAACGAAACTTTAGACCATGAAAGAAACAAATCTAGTCTAGATTTACATGCAAATATGTCCACAATTTTCTAAAACTTCCCCGAAACAAGTGCAGAAATAAAATAGCCTAAACAGTCAAAAGTGCCAGAAATGTCATGGTTGGAAAGCTCTGTTGATAGGGTTAAAATGGTTCTTGACTTGATTATCAGTCAATGGCCCATCTAAAGCATTAATTCCTAGGATTGGTATAACAGTAACATGTTCATTAAGCACACTTGTGAAACAGACGCATGCAGTACAATACTATGGATAATAGCTACACAATCTAAGTTAAGCAAGTAAATTAGTAGTTAGTAGTAACTTACAGTGACATTGACGCTTATGCCTTTTGAAATAACTTCCTTGATAGAAGGAATGCATGGTGCTGTTGCAGGAATTTTAATGTAGACATTGGGACAATCAACCACTTTATAAAGATATTTAGCCGCCTCAATGGTCCCTTCAGTATCATCAGCGAGTCTGGGAGAAACCTCAACAGAAACATAACCATCACCACCATCTGTTTGATCATAGATTGGCTCAAAAAGTTTACAGGCATCTTGAATGTCCTTCACCACTAACTCCCAATATGCACTTTCGATATCTTTTCCAGACTGTACAAGTTCCCTGAAATTCCAGTAATTTTAAAGATAATGATATGATTATTGAAAAGATCAGAAAGTTCAATTCTCGGTTCTCAAATACCAAGAGATCGTGATAAATGCCAACTCAGGTTAGAAAAGCATGCCTTGTTTTTCCTCTAGCTTCCATTTTCATTTTTCTTTCATGCTTAGGCAATGTGTTTAGCGTATATTATGACAAGAAAAGCAAAGCCTTAATGCAATTGTCTACTTTGATTCATGAATCAACGTCTTATGCTATTCATCACAGAACTTTAAATGATCGGTCACCAAGATTACCTGAATTGATCATTATAAGCATTTGATGACGATATAGCTTTCTGGAAAATCTGCAATCACATTTTTCAAACTCATTGCAGGAGATCACAATTGACAAATAACACAAACTAAAACCATAGCAGGTACTTACCGCTGGGTTACTAGTTACACCTCTAACGCCACTTGCAATCAGTGGCAGCAAATCAGTCACTGGCCTGCAAAGGTTGTCATACCATGGACTCTGCCCTTCTTTTTCATAGAGATCATGTAAAGTAGTCCTCTTAACTGAACTACCATTCCCATCAGGAAGAGAACATCTGACACTGCAATAAAAAAACAGAGTCGGAAAATCAAAGAAGCCTATAAATTGGTAAGGCAAAGTAGCAAGCAAGCAACTAAAATGAAAGCAATGCACCACTTTTTCTTGTAAAATCTCATTCGCAGTGTTACAAAAACACTACGCAATGCTGATAATAGTATATTGTAATTGCTTCTAAAAGGATCCATCTCTGGTCAAAACCCTGACCGACTTACTTGAAAACAACCCTTCCAAATTCCAAATATTAGATCATGGAAAAAGTGTGCAGAGAACAACAAAAGGATTCTCTTTTCAAAAAAAAAAAAATCAAGAGTTACAGAATGTTGACGATAAGAAATGAATCAAAGCAAAGCCATTTAGACGTGAAATCAAGAAATGAAGATCAAAATATCTGCATGCATCAACAAAAACTTCCAAAAAGAGGAAGGTTTAAGACTTTAAGGCCAATCAACATCTAGCACTGTTTACATCACCCAACAAAGAAAGAGGAAAACAAAAAACCCGGAAATCAATTTGAGAAAGGGCGTGGAGGTAGAGCAAATACTTACACCAAAGAGCCCTTTAAAAGGTGGTTGTTCGTCAAGGACAAGCTAGACGATGAAACCAGCTTGGAGCCAAAACCACCGGCGGCACGGAACCCAACGAAGCATTTAAGCGATGAAGAAGATCTGGGTTTGAAAGATGATGAAAGAGATGCGGCAGGGTTGGGATTAGAGAGCTTGGAAATGGTTGCCATAGGGGATAGATCAAAGGATCAGAAAGTGAACAGAGCCGGGGGTGGTTGGTGAACGAAGGAGGCTATGTAAAAAAGATTTTGTTATTTTAACTTTACGATAGGAACGATGAAAAATAAAAGTTGGATGCAGAGTCGTTTTGGCTTATATAGCAAGGGGTCGGAGGTTTGGAAGAGTAGAGAACGGCACCTTTCAATTGACCCAACGGGCAGGTGAAGACATTTCAATTGATGGATGGGTGGGTAGGAGGAAGGGCAATCTCGGAAAACGATTTTAGTTTACCTATTTCTTTTGGATGCAGACTCCATTTCACGCTGACGTCATAATTTTATCTCTGTTTGCTTTGAAGATTTTGTCAAAGCTTTTGCTTCCATTTTTCTTTTATTTTCTAATTTTGCAATTTTTCCTTTTTGTGGATTGACTGACGCAGTCTAATATTTCCCACATAAAATAAAATGACTACTCTAATCAATCCTTCTTTAAAAAAAAATTATCTTTTTAATTCGTACGAAATTGTCTATATTATAGTATAATTCTATCTACCTAATTTATAGTCCAACATAAGAAATAATTTCAATTTATCTTTCTACATTTATAATTTATAAGAGTGTACTTTTTTTGACATGTTAGAGTGTAAATTTATCATTCTATTTATTTTAGTGGTTTAGAGTTTATGTCATTTCAACACTTTACTTTTGAAATTCAAATTTCATTAATTTTCTAATAATTGCAATTTTAGCACTATACTTTTGAAATTGAAAAATGGAGGATTCGAGTTTAACCATTTGAACGGGAAAAATATATATTAACCAAATGTTTGAGCATAAAATTACATTTTTAATTTGTAGCAAATATAGTCAATTGTAACTATAAAGGAATATTTTGTTAAAGTATTCTTGATTGAATGAATTTTAAAATTAAAAAAATGAAGTGGCAAAACAAAATATTGAATGGCAAAGAAAATATCGTTGGGAATACCCAACTTAGAAAAATAAAAATTAAAGTGCCCTTTATTTTAAAATTTTAAAATAATTTCATCAACAAAAATTTTAATTTTTTTTTTTAAGGAAAGAATAAGGAGGGAAAGAAAAGTGGAGGGAAGGGAAGAAAGAAGTGTATAATCTGGCCATCTAGCACCAATTTGGAGTCATCGGCCAAATTTGCTTAGGTGAGAGAGAATAGGGGTGGTAGAAGAAGAAAAGAGAGAGGGAGAGCCCATGAAAAGAAAAAGAGTAAAAGGAGCGAAAAATGAAAAAAAAAAAAGAAGAAAAGGGAAGGGAGAGGGAAAGCGTCGCGCCAAATACTTTAGAAGAAGTATATATGATACTTCAATCTCACGTCGGGTGAGTTTGGGATCTCAAGAGATTTAGGTGGACATTGCATATCTTGTTAAGTTAAATGAGAGAGGATAATGATTTTATAACAAAGAAGTATTAGAGAGTATCCTATTTACACTCAATTTTAGAAAGGAGGTAAATCGGGTGATCGATAGAGACAAAGGCATCATCGAATTGGGTTGGAGAAAGAGTTGCACCAAATGCTTTAGATAAAATAAGCAAAGTGTTTTAATCTCACATCAAGAAGATATTAGGAGGTTTATGGACATGTTACGCATCTCATCAAGTTAATCAAGAGAAGGTAATGATCTTACAACAAAGTGGTACTAGAGCGAACCTTGCCTACACCCAATCTATGCCAACACCTCTAAAAGGGAGGCAAATAGGGTGATTGATGCCAACGAAAAGGAAAATTTCAAAACTTTACAAGTATGGTCGTTGCACATCTATACTCGTCATGCTTACATGTTTGATAGAAAAGAGAGAAAGGAAAAAGAAAGGAAGGACTTGCAATGATAGAAAAAGAAAAGGAAGAATGAGATAGAATTAGGGAAGAGAACAAGTGTTGAAGCATGACCACATGGAGAGGAGAAAGTAAAAACAGAAAAGAAAAAAATTTTTAAATTTTCACATGAAAATTCCACCTCATTATTTTCACTTTATTTTTTTGAAATCAATAAATTTATTATTTTTTATTATTAAATAATAATATTCTATGAAATATTATTTTTTGGTTACAATTGATTGTATTTGTTTGAAATTTAAAAGCATAGTGCTAACATACATTGAAAGATTAACAATAAATCTGGACCAATATAATAAATAAAAAGACAAATTTACTTCTTACCTCTTTTAGTAAATGAAAAGATGTATAATCCATTTACAAGCAATTATCAATAGACTTCTTGACGCATTTAATGATGCTGCCAAGGTTACAAAGTCTTATATTCCAATTATGAATGTTCCAACTAGGATTGTTGTTTCTAAATAATAGGCTGAAATGGATCAAAATAGCTCATGCTTGAAGTGTGAAAATCGATAAAATTAAAAGACATTGTCCCTAAAAAACGAAAAAGGAAGAATCAAGAAACCACTTCAGAAAAACCTAATGTTAAGCTTGCTCCAAAAGAGATTATTGCCCCTAAAAAGGCACAAATTTGTGAAAAAACCACTGACCTTGGGAATATTGAGATTTTCATTACATATTGTGAAAAGATTTGGGATCGAAATGAGATAATCATTGATGATGCTTTTACAATCTTAGTTGCTCATGAGATTATAAACGATGATTATAAATTGCGATCTATTATCGAATACCGTCAAAGACATGGTTGGCCTAAGTGAAAGGAAGCAATCCAGGCTTAATTAGCTTCCCTAGCTAAACGATAGGTTTTAGGGCTTGTAGGTGGACCTCCTGACTATATAAAGCCCATTGGATACAAGTGGTTCTTTGTTCGAAAGCGAAATGAAAAAAACGAGGTTGTGAGATACAAAGCTCGACTCGTTTCTGAAAGTCCTAAGATTGATTATAATGAGACATATTCATCTGTGATGGATATGATTACCTTCCGTTTCCTTATTGTCCTAGCAATTTATAAAAAACTAGAAATGCATCTCATGGATATTGTGACATCATATTTATATGATTCATTAGACTCTGATATTTATATGAAAATTTCTAAGGGATTCAAAATGCTTGAAGCATACACTCCCCGTAATTTGGTTAAAGTAATCTGGTTACATGTGATATCAGCATTTAAGCAAATACCTAATTAAGAAAAGGCACAAAAATGATCTTATCTACCTATGCGTGTTTATTAAGAAATTGAAGACTGAATTTGTTATTATAGCAGCTTATGTTGATGATATGAATTTGATTGAAACTCTAGAAGAGTTATCTAAAACTGCTGAATATTTGAAAAGGGAGTTTGAAGTTAAAGTTTTCAGCAAAACCAAAATTTGTCCTGGTCTAGAGCTTAAGCACAAAGCAAATGGAATACTTGTCCATCAGTCAGCATATATTAAAAGATTGCTTAAACATTTTAACATGGACAAGGCTCACTCATTGAGCACCCTTATGGTTGTAAGGTCTCTTGATCCTCAAAAGGACCGTTTCGTCATAGAGAACCTGATGAGGAGATACTTGGTCCTAAAATACCATATCTCAATACAATTGAGGCTTTAATGTACTTGGCACAATGTATAAGATTGAATATCGCTTTTATAGTAAATTTGTTGGCACGTTTTAGTTTTAAGCCAACTCGGAGATACTAGAATAGAGTAAAACATATCTTCCATTATCTTTGAGGAACCATAAAATCGGGATTATATTATTCCAAGTATTCCATTAATTCTAGTTTAGTTGGATATGCTGATGCGAAATATAAATCTAATCCATACTAGGGTCACTCTCAAACCAATTATTTATTTTGTTATAACGATACCACCATTTCTTGATACTCTACTAAGCAAACATTAGTAGCTATATCTTGCAACCACTTCGAGATTATCGCTCTATATGAAGTAGGAAGAAAGTGTGCTTGGTTGAAATCCGTTATAACGCATATTCATAATTCTTGTTTGTTTAACACCGATTACAAATTCTCCCACTATAATTTTTGAAGATAATACTACTTGCGTTGCGTAAACAAAAAGGGATATATTAAAGGTGATAGGACCAAACATATTTCACGAAAATTTTTCTACATTCACGAATTCTAGGAAAATCGACAAGTTGACGTTAAACAAATTCGATCTATCAATAATCTTACAAATCTTTTTGCCAAATCATTACTAGTGTCAACATTTAAAAAATTAGTATATGGCATTAGAATGCGGAAAGTTAACAAAATGAAAGATTAATTTGCCCTAGAAAAGGCAATATGGCTCAATTGAGGGGGAGCAATTATGAACCATGCAATGTACTCTTTTTTCCTTTTGACTTGTTTTTGTCCCACTGGGTTTTTTCAGCTTAAGGTTTTTAATGAGGCGGTGCAATGGATATTCAAAGAGAAATGTTATGAAATATGTGAATATCCATTGTATTTCATAATACCCAATATATCTCCCCATATCCAATGAACATATTTATGTTAGTACATACCTATCTCTTAGTTACATCTAGTGTATGTACAATCATATCTACTAAATTCATCCTTTCTATTTATGTAAATTCATTTCTCCTCCACCTATGTATGCCTATAAATAGAAGCATTGTAATTGATGGTAAAGATATTGAAACAAGAAATGAAATAGAAGATTTTCTCACATTCTTACATTTTTAATACTTTTCTTTAATATTCTCTTTCAAAGTTATATTTCACAATATTTAATATATTTTTTATATTTTATTCAATTGTATAGCTAATGTTCGCAAAAAATACATATAAAATGACAAATTGTTCATATTTATTTCTGCATTTGCTATGAAAAAGAAAAAGAGCTTTTAAAATAATAATGTCGTGATGAAGGACTATAATTGGTTGAGTATAACAATGCTACTATTTGGGCTTTGATTGTTGTGCTCTACCTACTTTCTTTTGGCTTTGTAAGCTTTGTGCTCACATTTAGAAACATTATCAAGACATTACAAGATGTATGACTGAGGTCACGTGATTTCTTCTGGTTTTCAGAATAGTTAGTCACGTGAATACGGAGTGTAAAAATGTAACGTTAGAATGCTAATAAAATTGCTTAGGCAATATTGGATTTTCAAGGCATGCCAAGTCATGTCATGAAGCAAAATGTAATTGAGATGATGACATCTAACCATACCATGTTATTGTTTTTATGACCACATAAAAAAAAACATTTCTAAATCAAATTTGGTATTAATTGAAGAATAAACCAATAGACTGGACCTACTTGTCGTATTGGTGAATGGCGGCCAAACAAATTAGGAAGTATGCATATCAATGCTGAATTGCTCATCAACTTGATCCCTCATTCACATGTGGATTTTGACTTTTGGAGAAATAGTACCCTATCTTTTGCCTCATTTGAACACATGATTCTTTTCTCATTAACATCAACACTTACAAGAGCTACCTAAGCTACAAGTGGCCCGCCCTTATCATGATTGAAGAGTTGCGTTACCCTGATTAATGTGACCATTATCATCATCAAAGGGATGCAATTTGTATTTCATTTAGCTTCCACAACTCAAACCCACCCAAACAATTAAAAAATGTCATGGTACCAACGATTGTGAATTGTGCCAAAGGCTATGGCACCCACAAAGGCCACTTGAGTATCATATTGCCACAGGTGATCAACTATTCTTCATCCAAATCATTGACGAAAGTTCCTCAAATACAGGTAACAGGTCCCCTGTATCCATTCTGAGCAACAGAGGACCAGCGGATACTGGAATGGAGGTCAAATATAAAATTCAATTTAAGATCAAAACAATTGTTGCTACTCTTACATGTGGAAGTGGAAGGCGTCATCCATCTATATCCAAGTATGTATTTCCATACGTAAGCTTCTATACAAAAATTTTAGAATTCTACATGAGGCCAACACCTAACTCGACTTGGTACACCTGAGGGTGAAGCTGCGGATATCGAGGAACAGTTTCATCACCAAGGTTTCAAGTCCCCAACTGGTCCTGCTGTCCAGTTCAGCATCTTTTCACCAGGCTTCAAGTAAATACTCTTCTGATGTGGCAATTTACGAGCTAGGCCATTCAATATTTGATGGAAAGCATCTCCTGGTTGTGCAGGTTGTGGAAACAACATGGCTCGTTTCATTGAAGGATTTGCAAGAAGCCTCTGTTTCCTTAAAATAACTTCCGGTGGTATAGATGTGAGGATTGTATCCAACTTTGGAACATCTTCTTCGGCAACAAACACTCCGATTTCCTCCCAGGGAATAGCATCAGCAAAGGGTAAGACTATATCATCTGCTATGATGACAGGGATGCAGCCAAATACTACAGCTTCAACCAGCCTAGGACTCCAGGGAGCCCACCCTAGGGGACACAAACAGAATATAGCTCGTTGCATGTCTTCATAATACGTGGTTGGATGTTCAGTGGAGATGTCAAAGAGTGGATTATTCTTAAAATTCTCCCAAACAGCTGCCCTAGCACCTCTGCCAATCACGAAAAGAATCAGCGAGAATATACATTCAACTAACAGCCACACAGCTGCAAAATTAGGTTCCAACTTGATGTAAAGGGTGAAGCCAGACCCAAACGAAGGACAAGGTCATGCATCAAGGCTAGAGGAGAGATTATAAGGTCTCATGTCTACCTCATTTAGTCATTTTAGAGTACACAAGAAAAATGCAAATTAAAGAGGTCATTTCCATTGGAAGAAAGTACTTTTACCTAAGCCTTAGTCTAAACTTAAACTTACCAAAGCTTTAAAGAAACACACCTTGCATAGTAGCCACCTTCTGGGTCATTATTCACGTCATAAAACAACCCACGGAAGTAGACAAAAATAGACCGTGGAGTATCTGGTGGAATCTGGTGGGCCTGCATCTTTTGAGGGGGAGCATAAGGAGGGATTGTGATTGAACCGTCATACAAGCACACATGGTTCCGTTGCCCAAAAGTCTGAACTAAGGTAGCACGCTGGAGAATTGGAAGGATCCCCCGCTCAATAGCTTTCTCTTCCTGGACAAGATATAATAAAAAACAATTTCTAACTCTATACATCAGTTGTGGTTGGTAGAAAATAATCAGTCTAGTGCCTAAAATATAAAGCGGATTCAGTTGCATACTAACCAGAATTATAGAAGGGAATAAAGACGCATACAGGATTTGATGAGACAAACACTGAACATAAACTGACATCATAGGTACATATTTGACTACAAATTCATTGTAAATTCAAGAAAATCCCAAACTAGTACACCTTGTGTAAGGACCACCAGAGTCCAGAATAGAAATCCTTTCTTTTATTACTTCTATGAGTGGCAGGTGCAAATCACATGTTTTAGATTGTTTGCTTGGAAAACAATCCTAAAAACACTGATCTAGGAGTCAAGTTCACATCAGTAATGCCATATATTGCTTGCTGAAATGCACACCCTTTTTTATCGACAATCGCAATATGATAGGATTAGAACTAAAGTATGAATTCTTTATCTTTCTAACTTTAAAATGATTTCCATAGTTGTTGGCATTCTGAATTCTTGGTCTTAAGTTTCTCCAGCCAAATCTTACAGATTTTATTGGACTAGTAAAAGGCACCCACAAAAATTCCAATGCTATTCCATTAAAGCCCATAGAAGAATGTTTTTTCCTGCACATTAAAAAAGCTTAAACGGTGCTTTAATGGTTCTTGTCATTCAATATATGATATTTTTAGAAACAACACACGCATGAGAATAATCATTCTTGAGATGGAGCCATCTCAGATGATTTGAACATACTTTCTTGGCAAAGCATGACTTCTAACTCTACCCTGTACTTTTGGTGAAAGGCTGCAAGATAGACTATGAGATTATGATTATTTGAAGATTTATGCTAAAATGGATGCAAAACATGATTTTTTTTTTTTTGTTTTTTTTTGACAAGTGATGCAAAACATGATTAAGTATCCCATATATGGTTTAGTAATATGCCAGCATCAATATACGAGCATGTAAGGCTACAGAAAAGTATAGAATTAGTTACCTGATAATGAAAGCATGCTCCAAAGTCATGGGGCACAACAAAGAAATGATCAGCCCCCTCTGTTCTATTCCAGTGTGGCCAGCTTGAGGAAATAAGCTGTATTGCACTTCTCAACATCCGAGGAGACTTGAAGGGCAATGGCAAGCCATTAGGTGTAAGATCACAAGTGGCATATATAGGGGTATAAAACCAATCTGCTTCCTCAGGATTGAGGGTTCGGACAGGACTAGATAAAAGAAACCTGTGCATGAAGATCTCAGCAGCAAACATATGTGAGAGACATCTGGGGTCTTTCTGAAGGATTTTCTTGTTATATTTGCTTGGAAGCTCATAAACATAAACTTTCAGCCTTCCTACTGGATCATCTTCCAAGACATCACCAGCACTTCCTGCATTATTCAAATCCCATTTTAGATTCAACAGTTTTAAGTAATATAGCACACCAGATTATAAACCATCAATTATCTCACATTTTAATAGGGCAAAGCAAGGTTGGGTTTCCTACATTCAGTAATTTTCAGATTTTTTTTATTCATTCAACTCAATAAATGCGATAGCCGCGCCATTGAAACATTCTAGAAGAATTTTAGAAATTGATTAAATCAAAATTAGTAGAACAGCCAACGCATGTCTACAAGTTTAGTTCAAAAAAATAAACAGTCGGTGGTAATGATGGGAATAATGGTTTTCTTTTTATACTTATAAATAGTATAGAAGTAAAATTCCATAAGACCATGAAAACTCAATTAAACCTGAATTCCATTCTGTATGATAAATCAAAGCTGTAGAAGATGATAATCAATGTTCAAACCCAGACCATAGCTACCATAAACAGCAAGAGTATAAGCTTGATATATTAAAGGCTATTTTTATAAAGAAAACAAGCTTTAAAATCCAACCACATTCGAGCAACATTGGAAACAAGAGATACCAGAAATTCTCTCAGTACGAGGGTTGTGCTCAGCGGCAATGCTCCAAGCTAAAGCAAAGGCAATAAAAAGAAACCCCCACAAGCATCGCCTCATTTTGGCAGAATCTCAAGAACCCAAAAAAGGGAATCAACAAAGAAATGAAAATGGGTCCTGCCTGAGATTGGAGGTGGAACGGAAGGAACAGCCATATTTAAGAGAAACATAAACGACATATTTTAAAATATGGTGGGACGTCATTAGGAGGAGTAGTTGAGTGAGTTTTCTTAGAGTTGAGGTTATAGTGGGAGGAAATGGAAATGGAAATGGAGGTTTCCAGTTGGGGAATTGAAAGTGAAAATTGGGAGGCATTGCTTCAAGGAACAGAGAGCACATTTTCTTTTTTTTTTTTTTTTTGAAAATACCAGCATGATGTTTGAACTGTAAACAACACGTACAGAAAAAATGTATCCCTGATGCTTCTGAAAGCTGCGTTTGTTTTGCCGGTTTGATGGCGGGTCCGTGTCCGTCTCTCCTTGGCTTATTAACAATTTAACATTAAGCAAGCATAGCTGATGTTCAGTCGACTGTCGACCGTCGACCGTCGACCATCCTGTTGGACCGTGATTTTTTGTATTGGGCCTGCAGATCCCTGTTCACTAGGATAACAAATTTTAAGAACAATTGGCTCATTCAGAGCCCACTGCAATTTCTTTCACAGTAGTTCCCTTGTTTTGGGCCTAATGTTTAGCTCGGGACACTCCATTTCGTACCCTTAGGTCCATAGTCAGTCGTCCATGAAAAAAAACCTTATGTGTCTGTCACAAATCCCACATCTATAAAAAAATAAAATAAATCTCAAATTCATAAGTGAAGATTTTCTTACACTTAATAGATCTTTAAATAGTATTAAAATTTATTTAATTTAATTGAATCTTTGTCAATGAAAATACAAGTAAGATGTCCTATTTTATAAGAACCTCTTAATTAAGTCTATGTATATTTATAATTTTAATGTATAAAAAGATTATTAATTTATATATCAAATAAAACTTATATATTTTTTTAAAATATATTATTTTATAAAGTTAACTAATTATTAATTTAAAGTTATGAAAAATTAAAAATATTATTTAATCAAAATTATTAATTTATAAAGATTATAATGCACATGTTGATATTTGATGAAAGATATCATGGGCACCCTGCGATTATCATGACCTCGTGTTGTTGATTTGAATTCAGAATTATTATTAAAACCTCAGCCTATCGGTAATGAGTATTAAATGCCTTGACATAAAGATGGTATAAATATCCTAGATAATGTGGGAAAGGAACTGAGCCTTTAAGAAACCATATGGTGGTTGGAAGGCAACTACAGCTGGATATGAAATCGTTGACTTTAATTTTTTAAAAGGCGGTTGGGGGGAGGGATTGGCCTAACTATTTAACAAGAGAAAGTAACAATCAGCCCAAGGCGCAAACCTTGGCCCTCCATATACATCCTTTTTTATTTTTTTAATATATTTAATTATTATGTTAAAATATTTAATTTATAGATTGATATGTAATTTTATTTTTTTTTATTTTTAATATATTGTTATTAATTTAAATATAAAGAAATCAAAACGGAGAAAAAGGGACGGGGTTAAGTCAATATTCAACAATGGAGACCTTAATTTTTCAATAACGGGAAAAGATGGAAAAGATTTGTACAGAATCCCACCCACGCCGTAAGAAAAAATGAGGTTGTGACTTTACCAAATATCACAACCCGGTGATGCCGTAGTCTCTGGGTCTCCTTTCCTCATCTAACTAACCTGTTCGCATTTATAACGCCTTGACATCTCTCTCTCTCTCTCTGTTTTGTTTTTACCAAAATAGACTGCGTGAGACAGAGAAAGAGAAATGGACAAGGAGAAGGAGAAAGTGAAGCAGAGTGAAGAAGAAACGGAGATGGAATTCAAAGACTGTGAAGGGGAGCAAGAAGAAGAAAACGTAGACAGGATAGAGATAAGTGATGAGATAGAGCGGAGCAAAGTTGGCATTATGAGGGCTCTTGTCGAGAGAGAAGACCCATCTGCCAAGGTAATCCATCCCATGGTTTGTACTGTTTTAAAGGGCATTGCATCCTTCTGTGCATTGGTAATGGATATGATATGTTGCTAAATATAGCAATGGGATTTCAAAGTTCCCCCTGCTTTGACTTAGTTTCTTTCTTAGTCTTCTTTTTTGGAATGATATATTAGTTATACGTAAAGACATCGATCAAGAAAGCACTTCAGCTATGTTAAAAATCTCTGCTTTTGTTTACAAATATCTTCTGTTCAATTACCCGCATAGGATGTCGATGATTTGATGATCCGGAGATTCCTGCGAGCTCGTGATTTGGATATAGAGAAAGCATCTACCATGTTCCTCAAGTACCTAATCTGGAGGAAAACTTTTGTGCCAAAGGGGTTCATATCTGAATCCGAGATTTCCAGTCAGCTAGCTCATGACAAGCTGTGCATGCAAGGCCTTGATAAACAGGGCCGCCCTATTGTTGTTGCGTTCGGGGGTAGACACAAGCCCACCAAAGGAAATCTGGAGGAGTTCAAACGTATGTTTATGGATTTTAAAGCACATTGCAAACACTGCTTCTTTTCTAATTCTGTTTCTTGCCATTTCAGCTTAAAAAGTACAGATGTGAATTGAACAAATAATTGCAATTGATGACTGGACATGTCTCCTTCTAAATGTTATGATATGCCTTATTTTTTGCAGGCTTTGTTGTCTACAGTTTGGAGAAAATATGTGCCAGGTAAATTAACTTCTCTACCCATCAAGAAACTTTGTAACTAAATATTTATAGAAGTGAAATATCATAGCTGTGGAGAAGAATATGTTTTTGATTGAGAGGACCAGAACTCAATTGTTAGAATTGTGGAGTCAATATACTTGTTCATGATCAGCCAGCCGCTCTTATCTTCCACAGATTACCTTTGCAAAATGGAACTTTTCGTTTTTAGCTAGGATAGAAGCGTTCAAAATTATCAATGTATATCTATTGCTGTGAATCAAGGTATGTGGTTAAGTGCCCACTGTTCCTAAGATCAGGCACCTTGATATAGACAATCAATTTGAATCTCTGGTAAAAATAATTAGTAGCCTCTTTCATGTTCATATAGTTTATTTATCCCAGTGAAAGGAATCATGCTTAGTTTCTATTTTGTTGGTGTTTCAGAATGCCAAAAGGGCAGGAAAAGTTTGTGGCAATTGGAGATCTTGAAGGATGGGGATACTCGAATAGTGACATTCGTGCTTATATGGCATCTCTATCAATCCTGCAGGTTTGATCTTCCACCATCTACCAGTCATTAGAGAAATTTCACATTATTGATTTTATAAAATTAAATAAACAAATCAATTGCATTATTAATGCATTTAGACAGCCATAAAAATATGTCATATCAGATGACTTGTAAAGAAATCTGTTGCTCCAGGAAGACTCATAGCAGTAATTCAACTGTCTTGATTACAGGATTGCTATCCAGAGAGGCTTGCCAAATTATTTATAGTTCATGTACCTTACATATTCATGACTGTCTGGAAGGTTATTTACCCATTCATCGACAGCAGAACCAAGAAGAAGGTAAGTCATGCAATGCCTTTCCTTTTGGAAAAAATGCATGTTCTTTCATGTTGACTTAAATCACGGAACAATGGAGCACCAGCTATGTTGCTTGGACTTGTGCATGAATGTTGGACATAACTACATGTCGAACATGGTTGCTTTCATTTTTCATTCTAAGAGCTTTTCCTTATATTTGGAGGCTCATGCTGTCAATTGTCAATTTGAGGTGTCTAGTACTCTATATGTATCCTACAAATACTTTCAGAAAAATAAATAGTTGGAGCTGTATTGAGCACCAATATTGTCTAATGAGACCTGTATGCCACAATCGAGAAGGTAGAGAGGCATTGGCAAGGTGAAATTTATCACATCAAGATAGGATTAGACCAGGAAAAGGTATTGGCATGATTTGTGTATACTTAAAAGCAGAATATACAAGCTTGAAGTTGATGTGGGTGTGAATTTAGGATGTACATAAAACCACTCTGCTCAATAACTCTTTAAGTTCATTGTCACCTTAACATAATTCTGGTTGCCCCTTTTCCAATTTTTTTTGCAGATAGTTTTTGTTGAGAACAAAAAGCTGACAGCCACTTTGCTTAGGGACATTGATGCTAGCCAACTTCCAGATATATATGGGGGCAAACTGCCATTAGTTCCTATCCAGCACTGCTAACTTGACCCAAGTTTCCTTTTTCTGCACTAGACCTTGTAGACGTGGCTGGAGAACTACAAAACAAGGAGATTCCAAATCCGCATTCGATATCATCCCCCTCCCCTTAAAGGGGCATAATCTTTTACAAACACTATTGAGATTATGGATATGTATACTCCTGAATATTTATGCAGTTTTAATGAATATAATCTCTCTCTCTCTCTCTCTCTCTCTCTCTATGCGTGCATGCATAATGTCCACAGCACTGGCAGTGGCTGATGGGTTATCGCCTAACAATTGCTCAAAAGGATGGATCTCGTTGACCTTCGTATGGTTCAATAAATATCGTGTATTAAAGCCTATATTCTCAATGAAAGCAATCATCATAATTCCAGCTAGATTAAAGTTGTTATCCAACTAATGATACAATCATGTCCTCATTCATGACCACAATTTCACAGTGACCTAAGATATGTTCCAGGAACAATCTCAGATAGGGCCAGTGTGTTCTTCAATATATAACTTACCCATTTTAAAATTCCGAGTTTATTGCTGTAAATTAGATTTATATACCATACATGTCAATTACACAATCATTGATCCATAAAACAGCAGAGGGGTGTTCAAATTTAAAAAAAAAAAAAACAAATACACACACACATATACAAAATGGGATTATTTGGACGAATAAATGCATAAGCACTATTAAAACTGAAAATGCTCAACAAATCTTCTGTTATGTTAGTCAAAACTTCCGCCTGTCTTACAACAGAAGCAGATACAAAATCCAGAAAAACTTAATAAATTCAGTCCTCATGTGTAAAGAAAAATTCTATTATGCCATTTTGCAGTAAGATGATTACTCCACAAAACATGGATTCCGCATAATTTCTCACCCAATCAGCAACTTGTTCTCATCCATGAAGCTGTATGTGGGTACCTCTAGATTGTATGGTGCTGGCCCCTTGCGGATCCTACCAGACACATCATAATGTGAGCCATGGCATGGGCAGAACCAACCACCAAAGTCACCAGCATTTGGCAGGGGTATACACACCCCAAATGGGTGCAGACACCAACAACAACAAGCCACTCTGGATTCTTCACCCTGATCGCATCCTCCTGGGGGTCACGAAGGGATGCGATGTCGACACTGTTAGCTACCTTGATGTCCTCTTCAGTTCTACGTCTGATAAAAACCGGCTTTCCTCTCCACTTGACAGTAACAGTAGTCCCAGGCTCAATGGTAGAGAGGTCGACCTCAAGGGAGGCGAGGGCAAGGACATCTTTGCTGGCTGACATGCTCAGAACAAACTTGAGGATCAGAAGACGTATTAAGGAGGCATAAACAAACCTGCCACCAGTCAAGACAAAATAAGCAAATGCACGCTTGCTAGGATCGCCAGGTGCAAAACGCTCATGATTATGCTCATCGTAAACAATTTTTGAATTAGGGTTCTTCACAGCTGCCACGGTAGCAGGGAGATCTGATATCATTCCCATATCATGTCCCGGGGTGAGCGCTTCTGAAGAGAAACCTGGAAGGAGATAAAACAACTGTCAGATGGAATTACATAAACACATATATTATATAAAGTAGAACAGCCAGTACACATAAACCATACATGCAAGCCCTCTCAAGATAAATTATCAAGCTCGCATATGGTGTTAATCTACACAACAAAAAAAAAAAAGCTTGCGCATTGCAAGCACAAGTTTTCAGGCCTCTGCCAAAAATAGCCGCTTTAACATATCATGAATTGCAGCATATCGGCATAAGAAAAGTTACGGCATAAAGGTACTGCAAAGGTATTTTTCTGAAGAACTTTGCTGCCTATATGGCATTTGATTTGCCTAAACTCAAGAATGTTCTGAATATATTGCCATTCAGTATAACAGTGACTTAAAATGTGAAAATTTGTCCCAAGCTTAGCAATTTCGCTGCAGAAAAATGAATCCTTGATTCTAATGGCTTCATCCGTGCATGTGGGTGCATGCTTCTCACTTGCACCAAGCAAACGAACACAAATTTCTTAGCAAAGGAACACAAATTTGTTTAATTTCCATTTTGATTCATACCTCTATTGAATATCAAATATAAACACAATGTACAAGAACAAAAAAAAAAATCCAAAACTCGTTCTTTTTAAAGCATAAATGAGCAGGTACGCCTTCACAAAAGCATAAATGATTCAAAATAAACATCTATCTCTACAACATTAAATCAGCTCCACGCTTTTATTCAGTGGCAAAATGCAAGTAATACATATCCAATAAATCACTTTGAAATCATTAGCTAGATATAATGAGGGATTTAATAATAAAAAGAAACAAAATATTGAAAATCCTAAAACGAGGTTATTCGATTCTATATCCTGCAACTTCATTGCAATCAAGCAGACATAAAATCTAGCATATCGTATATGATATATCATCGATGAGCAGAACAGAAAAATGATAAAGAAGAAATCAAGCAGACAAGTCAAAGATACGAATACAACACTAGAAATTTGGAATGGAAAGGTAAAAGGAAAGGGAGAAAATATGAACCTCTAATTAGATTTGGAAGCTGAGAATTGAAAGTGAATGGAGAAAGAGCGGGACCGGATCTGGAAACGCAAGGCGATTCAGAAACGACGCCTACCCCATCGTTAAGGGGATTGTTCCGACAGAGAGAGGCGGAGGACCTCCATGGAAGAGATGAGAACCTCCTCCCTGCAATTCTCAGCATATTTCAATGTTATTGGATTGCTTAGGTGCTTAGGGTTATGGACAGAATAATTCGGAGTCTTAATAACTCTGGTCAGACGAGAGGGCCTGTCTGGAAGCAGAAATAAAACGACGTATGGGGTGATATACGTTGTCGGAGTTTTAATATCCAAATAGCATTTGTTGGATATATACGTTGTCGTTTTTGGTGGAACGGAATAAAGAATTTCGGAGACATACTCAGAGATGTGAGGCGCGTCGATAACCTACTCTCGTCGGGTCGGTTCGAATCTAGTTGATATTTTTCATTTTCTCATATTTCATTTTTGCCTTCGCCATATTATGCTTTCAAAGTTGTTTCGAGTCGGCTTGGGCAGGGGGCAAGGATGATCATTTTCTCATCTCTGTTTCTAGGCTCACGTGAGAGCCTTTTGATCCCTTAGGATTTAGACCTAACCGTTCCATTGTGTACGACTGATGAACGTGTCTAGTCTGAAATGGATGTCGTGTTTGTATTTGGTGTTGTCCTCTCTGCGTGTATCCTTGACCTGCTACCTTCCTTACTTGCTATCTTTTGTGTTTTCGGAAGTTTATAACTGTTTTTGCCAGTATCGTTTTTTTCCCCTTGACTACTCTCTATGTTTGTGTATCTGTGGATTTGTTTGCCTTCTCTCTGTATGGTTATGTTGTTAGGGCTTCTCAAGTGTCAAGAAGTTCAGGCTTTCAGGTTGTTCCTCACAAATTCTTCTTTATTTTTTTCCATGTTATTTATGTTTTTTTTCTTTCTTTGGTGATTGTTGTATGGGGAAAATGGGCTCGAATGGGATATGGGGTGATATTCTTTTGGGGAAAATTGGTTCGACTTGGACATGGGGTGGTGTTCATTTGCATCTTTGATTTGGAATTTGTGTATTTTTTTTTCTTGGTTTTGGCTATTGCAACTCTGCTGTTGGTGTTTCGGTACTGGATTTGATTTTGTACATTTTTTCCAACGTTTTGTTATTGAGATTTTTAATTGAAATGTGACTGTTTCTTTAGATATGTTTCATTATTTATTTATGGGTTTAATTATAGATATCACTTATGCAAGTTATTATAATTTTATTTTCTCACTTACTTTGACTTTAATGATTATTTTAATTCGCTGGTACATATGAAAATGAAATTTCCTTGCTATGATTCATTTTTATCTCAGCTTTTTGCATTAATTACTGCTGATTAGATGCTTTATTCTTTTTAATGCTTTTATTTACATATGGGTGTGGATATTTTGTTTTCTAGAACAAAAATACGAGAACATTTTAATTTCGATTTTATGCGTAACCATTTGTTAAGTTAATATTCTGGATAAGATTACATGTTAAGAAAGTATTTGGTTTTCATGTACTGCTAAGAACTCTTAACATAGGAATTTCACGATTTCTTCACTTTATAAACGTTTTGTACCTTTATTGATGGTCCAATTTCTGTGTGAAAAAAATCCTTCTTGTTATTAAGAGAAGGATTGGTCGACATATAACATCGACAACCTGTGATACATGGAGTTCTTGCTTTAGCAAGAAAAAGAATGTTATCTCTACAGAAATTTGGACCATCCCATGACAGCACAACTATTGTTATGACTTACTGAAATTTGTTTTGTTTTCGCAACAAGGATCCTTTTTCCTTTGAACATTGTCAATTATGACATGATATTTTATCATTTGTCTATAGTTTGTTTGCTCATTTTATGTATTATGTTTTGTACATATTGTGCTTGCATCATGATATGCCTTTTTTCCATGTCTATGTTGTCATTATTTGCTTTTTTTACTATGTTCTGATTAACAGTGCTAGTTAGTCTGAGTAATTTCTATACTACTTTTAAACAATGATTAAGAATTCAAATGCATCGTAGCTTCAACTTCAACTGAAAGAAGGATGTCATTATCAAATCAACATATTCCAGATCAATGACAAAAAAAGCGTCTGTCAATCCCATCCTTTCAAATATTATGGGCATGTTACGAAAAACATTATCATCCACCCAATCCAGAAAGCTTTGAGTCCACACCCTGCATGGTATTTTAATTTTACGTCCATTGATCAACTCAATACTATATGCAATGACTCAATTTTGACAAGAAAGCTATAGTTCTAAAATGCTCACTGTTATTCTTAATTTCATGTTCTCAATAGTTATTATTATTTTTCTCTTTATATATTTCTGGTTTTGGCAGACTTTACCGAAGCCTTAAAATCAATGACCACTATTGAAAGGCTATTTCTCAAAATCGGATAAATGAGGTCAAGAAACGTGACCTCTATATTGAAGATCTCAAGTCTAAATAAAGGCAAACATGTTTTTTACTAATCAAAACATTCCAAATTACAATATGCCTTATCAATAGTTTATTTTAATTACAGTGATAGGAGCTTAAAAGTTATTCTACATGGAGATAAAGCTGCTGCGATCAATCTAGATCAACTCTTTGATGATGTCATCAGTTTGATTGTCATCATGGCTGCAATAATTATGAAAAAATACACTATTAAGTATATAATACATATAAAGATGGCAATGGGTATCTTGTTATAAAATACCTGTAGGTACTCAACCCGATTATATAGGATTAAAGTGCCTTATAATCGGATTCAAACAAGGTTCGAGTAGTAATTTTACTACTTATAAAGAGTTCGGTATCACCCCTTGAATACCTAATATCCAAATCCAATTATGTTTTTCTTAATTTCATATAATTAAATACAAACCAATATTATTAATTAAATTAATTTAGAAAACTATGATTATTAATTAACTTGTAATTGTTTGTAATAAGTATGCTTTATATATTGTGTTAATTTATGAGGAATATAATTACTATTATATATATCCTTTTAGTATATATTCTTTAAATATAAATATATTTACTTTTTATTTTGTGTTAACTTTATAAAAATTAGAACTTATAAAATTATTATTTATAATATACACCTTTGTGTATATAAACTTATAAAACATATACCTAAAAAGAAATTGTGAGATGGACTTACATATTATTTGTTTCAGATTGTCTATTATTGCTTGAAAGTGATTCATTCTATGGTTGTTTTTTTCCCTTATATGTTACAGTGGAAACTCAACTTGATACTGATGTTCAACTTAAACAAGCTTATATGTTTGTTATTATTAATAGGTTTATTTCTTTAGTTTTCTTCCCCTATTGTTGTCTCGAAAAAATGGAGTAGGCAAACATACAAAGCTTTTATATTAAAATCTATTACAGTAAAACCTTTATAAATTAACACTCAATAAATTAGTAACGTCGATTAAATAATATTTTTTATCGGTCCCAACTTGAGACCAACATGGTAGATTAATAATTTACTAAAATTATAGTATAATACATTTTTAAAAAAACACATAGATCCCACTTATATATAAATTAATAATCTCCTTATATATCAAAAATATTGTATATACACACACACATGACTCAATTAAGAGATTTTTGTAAAATATGACTCCAATGTTACTTATTTTTTCTTGATATTGATGTCTCTTTGAACCTTATATATAACATTTCTTAATGCATTAAAAAGCTCTGGTATAGAATTCTCGTATTGTAAGAGAAAATTATGTAATGTGATTGTTGCTTTAAGTATATCTTTGCGCAAGACAGGCTCCAGTAAAGAACCATTGTCTCAAACTTCATCTTCTTTGTTATTTCTCATGACATTTTCAATAATTTGTTTGTCACAAGTAATGATAATTCGTAATTTAGTAATTAAATAATATTCGTATAATCATAATACATAATACATATATTGAGTTTAATGTTTTGAAAAATAATTAAAAATACTTTGCTAAATTAATATTTTATTAATTAATATTTTTTAATTTAAAAAAGAGATATTCGAACCCTACTCATACACTAACCAATAAGTCAAATGTTTGGATGTATGTATAAATTAATAAATTATTAATTTATTGATTAAATATCTCGATTAATTAATAAATGTCCATAGTCCTTAAGGTATTACTTTATAAAAGTTTTACTGTAAATTGAGGTTTATTACAGTACTTGACAAAAAAATGAAGTGAATTTCTTTTGCAGATCTATTATTGATAATTTTATATTTAAGAAGCTGTAAGTTCATGTTCTTGAAAAATTTCTTCTTTATTGCTGAAATTTGATAAATCTGTTGTCATTTGGTACCTCTGATTACGATTGATTCAAAGCATTACATGTTGACAGCATATGTATTTCATCTCCATAACTACTTATATTTACTCTTTATATACAATTGACTCATGTTTATTTTGTTCTTACAATACTGTTCCTTCTTTTATATTTTACCAAATATTATTATCTCATTCACTTTAATATCTTAGCTCATCTACTCATTACGATACCTAAGTTTTGATTTCTTTTTACCTCTACAAAGGATTCTCCAAAACAATCCAATCATCAAAGTGCAACCCCATTGCAGACTCTTCAGCCACCGCCCTAATAGTAAGAAATTCTGCAACTTTGCTCACAATCATGGCAACACTACCTTATATTTTCTGTAGACAGGCAACATCATTAATTGAACACTATAATGTTAACTTTTGTGTATATACAAAGATCTGTAAAAACACACCATCACATCATGATCTTCATTTTGTTCATAGACAGACTTTTTGTTAACTAGATGGCAATGAATGTATAGGATTAGAAACACTGCCTCATATTTTCTACTCACAAACAGTGAATTTATATAAACCCTATAACCCTATAACCCTAAACAGCTATAATAAACTCTTCCACATGGTAATCAAAACTGTAACAACTTTTTTGTATTTATGTTTTGTCATCCACACCTCTTTTCGACATAGTTTATTTGAACCGAACACAACGCACCAGACCAATTCTAGTATTGACCTAATAAGGGCTAGTCTTATGTGGGTTCTAATTAAAGGACTAGTTCGGACTTTTACCATTCAAAAGGAGGCCCAACCAAACCCCCATTTTGTAGATGTAACTGCACACCCGATTTGGCTATTTAAATGAATTCTGCCAAAATTGAAAATCCTACGACATAGTAACAACATCTAGTAGATGAACATGCAGTATTAAACGGGGGAACTCTGGACCTTGTATGAGTATTGAACTGAATTGTAAAAGCAAGAACTGGTATTCCCAAAAACATGAACAGCTTCTTGGCGACAAATATAAATGCACATTTTTCAATAATGTAGTCACCCTTGAAATCATCATGACATTGTAAGATACTCCATATATTGGATATTGTGTTACTATGTCAACAGTGTGCTGGAATTTCTCAAGACTCAATCATCTGCCGAGCCAGATGTGTGATGGGGGTAATTTGCCCACACATCCTCCCATGTTCTGTGTCCATCAGTTACAGACTTAACAACAGATGCTGCCTCTTCTACATCAACACGGACTTGAAGCTTGCTGTCTCTCTCCCGGATTGTCACATCTTTTGTTGAATCAACAGTTATGGCAAATGGTACACCAAGTTCATCTGTTCTTGCATACCGTTTTCCTATTGAGGTACCTGCAAATATCGTAAGGGAAAAAGGGATGAGTTGAAGTTCATCAATAACTGAAAGGGTGGATATGCCTGGCCCTACAATTATAAAACCAAGAATGTTTATAGTTGCATACTTAAGTTGAAGTCCAATATGTCAATAAGGACTTCATTTTTCAGTTTACTTCCTGAAACTTTTAAGCAGAACTTTCTGAACAAGCAAAGAGAATTTTAAAATTCACAGAGATGCATAGAAACGAATCAAGTGTTTAAGTTTATGTACATCCATATGCAGGACCATGCAAGTGTGGGAAGAAGATGATTAAAGAGTTATCATTCATCTTAGTCACATACCTGTGATATCTATCTTATGTGAGATTCCAGCAGCTGTCAATGACTTTGAAATGACTTTGGCAACATGCTCATATTGTTGATTTTGTACAAGTGGAAATACAGTACATTTGATAGGTGCCACAAGAGGAGGAAACCGAAACACATTCAACTGCTCATCCCCAGCTTTACTTGGCCTCGTGTAGAAAGAGTGCTCAAAAAGGCAATAAATTATCCGTCCAATTCCAAAGGATGGTTCAATCACAGATGGCGTAAAAACTCTCTGGTGTTCTTTCTTTATCTCCTTTGAAATAGAGACCATGTTCTTTTTAATGGGCACATTTTTCCCAAGAGTGCAGACATAGAATTCCACCTCCCCTTTGGATTCCAAAGCAGCCTTCATTTCCAGAGCCTCTTTTTCACTCATTGCCTAACAAAAAAGCAAATTCATGCATTAAAGTGATATGAGCAGCACATGGCATTAAATATTTAAGAGTTTTCATCATTTACCTCTAAAGCTTCAACCACCTTCTTTTGGTTCCCCTTGAATGCAAGGCCGAGTTCTTTCTTCACAGGAGCTATAGCCAGTTTCTGAAAATATGAGCCATGAGAATTACTTTTAACCTCAAGCAGCAGCACTTTAAGGATCTTTTGTTGCATTATCAGTCATGTGATCTCCAAATTAGTATATGATAAAGATGGGGGTCATTAGCAATAAAGTAGTACCTCCACTTCTCTAGGTTCTAAAAATTTCTCAGCAGCCACCAGTGGGACACCACTTTTCTCCTGTCATACAAAACAAAACCATGCCACATGAGGATTCAGTATACTACTACTTTTTGGTAGAAAGGAAGATATAGTTTTAATCTTTTTCTTCCTATTTATCTCGCTTTTGATAGCATGGCTATTATTAGATTAGTCATTAACTTAGCTAAGATCATAACCATTGGATGAATAAGCACCAAATTTGTTATGATAAAATTACAGTCATAACCCCTCTTTTGTTGCACAGAATATAGTCTCTTGACCAGAAACTCCTATGTATAACTAAGCTGACAGCTTACCTCATGAGTCATAAATTCTGCTACTAAGTTACTTTAAAATAATTGCCTTAACAATAAAAAGAGAGATAGAATGTAGATATAACCAAGATCTTACTGTATGAGCACGCAAGTCATAAGCAGACCTATCTGCAATACCAACACATTCAATCCAACCATATGAACACTCAATCTCAGCATCCCAACAGTCTGCAGCATAATGCGCCATTTCATTTGCAAGATGCTGCCGGAACCGTAAACGGTCTTTGTCTATACCAAGGCAAGTTAGGAAGAGATAAACTCTACCAATAAAGTAGCCAAGGGTTTCATTGTTGACAGTTCCCTAAATGACAATGAAGCGCAGCACCATCACAAAGAGTAGGAAGGGAGATGTAGAAAGCAAAGAGAAATAGTCAAGCTTAAACCAACCTTTGAAACTGCATCACCAAGACGTGTTCTCTTTGCAGATTGCCCAGACATTTGCTCTTCCCTTGGGAACATCAGAAACTCCAAGTTCACAACTTCAGAGTATTTTGGATGAGATTTGTCTTCAGGATCGACAAAGTGCTCAATCTCAGCTAGAGTAAATTCTCGAACCCTCAGAAGCCCTTGACGTGGGGATATCTGTACAAACAGAAATTATATCATCAAATTTGAAATTTATCCCATGTTACATGATTTAATGTGCATTCATCAGGGCAATCATCTCAACAGCCAAGTAATAAACCAAAAAGCACCAGTGTATAGCAGAGATGAGGCAACTTTAGTTAAGCTCCCTACAGTTAATGCTTTTTCTATTTGCATTTAAAAAAAAAAATGAATAGAAAGCAAAGTGAAAAAATAATGAAAAAAGAAAAGAAAAGAAAAGAAAAGCAAATAGCTAAAGCCCCAGTTATACAGAGCCTTAGAAAATTATCTTAGCTTCACACTTGCAGCAATTTCCAGAAAATAGAGAAAAAATTCCACCCAACAAGGGCACAAATTGACATCTTCTTCAGATTCAAAGACAGATTTTAAGACCTCATTTCGGAAAGCCTGACCAATTTGGGCTGCAGCAAATGGAAGCTTGTTCCCATTGTAATAGTATAAGTCTTTAAAATTCACAAATATTCCTTGTGCTGTTTCAGGACGCATATACCTGCAGTAAACAAAATGAAACATAATTCTTTAGGTACTTACAGAGCTAGAAACAATGCTACATTTATGTTGAGCACTTGCAAGAAAAAGAAATCATTAAGTCAGCAAACCCCCACACCAGTGAAATAAGTAAAATATATATTTTCACATTCAAACCCAAAAATTTCACAAACAACATCCCAAAAATGACTAAAGTAAAAACACTTGCCCAGGGCTCAAACCAGATGGACCAATTGATGTTTGGAACATTAAGTTGAATGGATAAGGATCCGAGAGCGGATTCTTTGTATCTGGAGCAGTAATACCATACTCCTTGATCTTTGCACCTAGCTCTTCAGCTGACAGGTCATCCAATGTAGCAAGGACATGTTTAAGCTCAGCAGCCTTCTCTGCACTAACGCTGAGGTCTTTCTGAAGCTTCTCATTGCAGAAATCCTTAAGCAAGTGATCAGCCCGATAGCAGGTCCCAGTTTTTTCATCCTTAACCATAAGGTCAGTAAATTTATCCACATGACCAGATGCCCTGAGGACAACCTCTGGCGTCACACAGGGGCAGTCAACCTCCAACATGTTCTCCTCAAGGACAAAGTGCTGAAAAAGTGGTAATACAAACAAGCTAAATTAGAATTGTTTGGACTATCCTATGATCTTACATCAATGCAACAATGCAAACATGAACCGTCACAATGTCTTTAATTTGCTTGGGGCTAAACATTTGACCTGAACAAAGAACGTCAATATCTAAAATATTCAGCTTTTATTCTAGTTCAGGCTCTGTTGATCTAATGGCATTTTGTTTCCTCATATTTTCTACTAAAAAAAAAAGGCAAATAATAGTATAATAAGTAAAATTTTTCATTCTTTGCCCACTCAATCTCCTCACATCCCAAAATATACAAATTTGAAGCTTCAAAATTCTGTTCAAACACACTGCTTAAACCAGCTGGTTCTCCTCATCCCTAGTCAAGTTTACACACTACATTTCTCCCATCTTCCAACTAGCCCGAAACTTAATTAAGCACGTCAGTCCATTTAAGTGGACCATTACTGAAAGTACTAAACAGTTGAAACTAAAACAGCTTCGATTCAAACCAACGTCAATATGCATCACCCACTCAACAAACATCCGCGTTTGTCTTAGTTCTTCACAATTGCTGTCAGGATAAATAAACATCTCTATAACTGCTAGAGCTAAAAGCATACCTGACGCCAGAAAGCAAGAACGTTAGATTTAACGGCGCAACCGGGCGGTCCATAGTCATAAAGCCCAGCAACACCCCGATAAATCTTGAAAGACGGTATGTAAAACAAACGCCGTTCTAATGTATTCACAGCGGCTTGACGGAAAGCTTCCCTGCTAAGGGCGGCATCCCCATCGTTACCACTAACAGCAGCCTGCAGCTGCTTCTCTATCGACGATTTCTCCAGCTTCAAGCCGTTCAAGGCTTCGATTGCAGCGTCGATTTCAGGCTTAGAGGCCTTGGCGGCTTTCAGAGCCCTCACCGCGTTGCCCTGCGCTTCAACAGCCGATTGCTTGTCGGCTAGTGCTCTGCGGAGCGATTCCTCGGCTGTGGCCATTGGTGGTTGCCAATTAAAAAAGGTGGTTAGGGTTGATCGCTGGGATTTGCTGGAGAGGGGGTATAAGTGGCGTGATGTCAATCGGGAGGAGGAATTGAGACCAAAGGAAACAGATGAGGAAATGAGAGCGAAGGGAAAGCGCATGCGAACCGGGCAACAGTTATAATAGTGCGTGTAAGCTAAAAGGCACTAGGGTTTTAAAAGGGTCTTGGTTTTACAGTGCGGATTGTTTGGATGGTAGTTTAATAGGAGCCACTTACACGATTTGGTAACTCTGTGCTGGGTGTAGCTTAGTAAAACTAGTTATGGTGGAATCCTAAAAAAAATATTCACATATTAATTTTTTATTAGTCAAAATACTTAAAAACGTCTTATAGTTATATATTTTATTTAATTTTAAATAATTTAATTTTATAATTTTAAAAATTATTTTAATTTAATTTCTCATCTAACAGCATTCAATTTAATTTATATGAGGTAGTTGACATGATGGTGTGACACAACCATGTCACCATAACATGTTGACAAGATAGTGTCACATTATCTTTTAAGTTTGAATTGTTAATGTAGCACTACCATGTCAGCATGTCAAAGTGACATGGTGATGCCATATCAATATTAAGGCTTCACATTAACATGTCAAAATGACATGGTAATATCACATTAGTCTCTCGATTTGAGTTACCACGTGAAATGTTAGTAGGTTGCCACATGATTTAGTTTTTTTATTTTAAAAATTACTCCAATTTAATATTTTCTTTTAACAATATTTAATTTAGTTGTTAAATTAACACGACACATTTTAATTAATGTAGCAATATGATATGATTGACATGATAACGTAACACTGCCATATCACCTCAACATGCTAACGTAGTAATGTCGCCTCACTTTTTATGTTGGAGTTACTAATGTGGCATTACCACGTCAACATATCAAAATAAGGTGGGTATTAAGGCTCCACGTCAACATGTCAAAATGATGTGGACATTTTTACTAACATAGTGGCATAGGGTAATTGACATGATAATGTGGCACTGCTATGTCATCTCAACATACTAACGTAATAGTGTCACATTGCTTTTTAAGTTCAAGTTATTGATGTGGCACTACCACGTCAACCTGTAAAAACGAGGTGGGCATTAAGGCTCTATGTCAATATATCAAAATGATGTGGCAATACCATATCAACTTCTAGGTTCGGGTTATATGCTCCTCTTTCGAATTCAAGACCTCTAATAAGCATATCACCAAATCAAGCACTACGCCTCATTAACGGTCTCGGTCTAATTTGTATAATTAGCTTGAAAATTTAGAAAATTAAATTAAATTCAGATAAATTCATATTCCCAAGCTCGCTTGTCTACGATTTTGATAAAGTTTAAGTTACCAAGCTTGACAACTTGCAAGCTCAAGGTCTTAACTATCAAGCTTGATAATTTGCAAGTTTTAGAATTTCACTTGCATTTAATTAGTTAAACTAACTATGTTGAAAATACATCAACTTATGTATTAGAAGATTTCACTGTTGTGCCAACCTAGTCCTGGTAAAAATTCTTAGCATTTGTTTAAGGGGGATTTGGCATTTATTATTAGATAATTAAATGTTTCTTAACTATGAAAGTTTACTCTTATAATCATCAAATGGAGCCTTCTTCTTTGGCCAGAAAAGAGCCTTTAAAATTAGACAAAAACTAGTATGTGACTCATGCTTTGTTGCAGGGCCATTTTTTTTTTTGACTAACATGAGCAAATAATTTTTGTGATTTCTTAAAAATTTTTGTATTTTTTTCTTGTTTAAGCACATTTTAATATTAATGTAATCAAAGTTTGTGACTAATGATATTTGTTTGTTGAGAAATAAAATTAAAAAGAAACTCATCATATGTATAGAAAATGATTATTTGTATATTATATAATTGAAAATTTTAACATTATAATTCGTCTGTTTAAATTAATTAACTATATTTACATTGATTTTTTTGAACATATTTTCATGAATTTTAATGGATATTAATATTTACATGCTTGCATAATATATTAAGTTTCAAACTAATAATTTCTTTTAAGGATGATGGTGTAATAAAAAATAGTAATAATCAAATGCATAATATTAAAATAAATGTAATTATATATTATACATAAAACATTTTTTTATTTTATATGACTTTATAACCCAAAAATAAAAACATATCAGTCATATTATATTTTATTCTACATGTGAAATTATTAAAAAGAGAAGTTATACATAAATAGTCTTAAATAAAAAAAATTGTTAAAGAATGGCCACGTGTCCAATTGAAGACCTGTTAAATGTCATTTAAAGACCACATTTTGGAACAATTTTAATATAAATATATTGATTTTTTTTCATTTCCCCCTTTCTCTCTTCTTTCACCATTTTTCCTTTTGCTGCCTCTATTCCTTTCATTTTTTCAATTTTAATAAAGAATTTATTTATTTTTAAATACAATATGATGAGTAAATTATCACTGTGTGTCAATACTAAAACTTTTAAAAAATTATTTACATGAGCTGAATAAAAAAAACAAAAAATTCTAGATGGCTAAGTAAATAACTCATCACATGTTAATTTTCAGAAGAAAAAAAAAATCAGCACATGTCAATGAAAGAACCCATAACATTGTTTTAATATATAGTAAGTATTAATAAAAAAATATTTTTCAATATTTTAAGAATAATTATAATTTAAATGAGACGAACTAATTAAGTTTTAGAAGCATGGCATTAAGTGAGTTAAATTGGAGCCATGGATTTACGTTTTAGAAGCATGAATCGAGTTGATGAGTCAAATCAGATTGGTCAAACATGTACTTTTTTTTAAAAAGAATTTAGGTCTGAATTTTCGTTATTTAGCAAATATAAGAAAAACGAATTTTCATATCTTAATTGACAGGGAAGACCTCTTTCCACATTTGTCATGTACAGTAACAATTGCCTTGTTAAGAAACAAAAGATCTGGCATTGCGGGTGAAAGTAAAAAGGCAAGCCGTACTGAAATATTGGTGGCCAAATTTTCCCTTGTGTAGCAGCAAAGGATGAAGAGGGAAATCAAAAAATTTCAAAAGTTATTGTCAACCAAAATTCCATTGCAGAACCGCGCCCCTTTCTCTCTCACACCTTCCCCCTAAAAATGTTTTCCCCATTTTGACCCGAAAACACTCCCTCCCTCTTTTTTCTCGAAAGAAGAAAAGAGAGCCATCGTCCTCACCGGACAAAGACCCGCGATCTTCGTTCTTCATTCTTAAGATATTTTTTTCTTACTCTGATGGCGCTCGTTAGCCAGCTTCCTTGCGATGGAGACGGCATTTGCATGATCTGCAAGAACAAGCCGTTGCCGGAAGACACCCTCACGTGCAAGACATGTGCCACTCCATGGCATGTGACTTGCCTCCCCTCTTCCGCTCGTCCTCAAACTATTGCCGAGGCCCTCCGATGGGACTGCCCCGATTGCTCCCTCACGGATCATCCTCATCCCCCGATCGCCGAAAAAACTGGAAGCTCCGACGAACTCGTTGCGGCTGTGAGGGCTATTGAGTCGGATGATTCGCTAACCGAGTTGGAGAAAGCCAGGAGGAGGCAGGAGCTGGTCAGCGGTGGCGGAGCTCGATCATCGGGCGACGACGGTGAAAAAGCGAAAAACAAGGAGGGGGTCAACGATGATAACGATGTCCTCTCTATCCTCGATGAAAACATTAACTGTTCAATTTGCATGCAGTTACCGGAGAGACCTGTAACGGTTAGCTTCAATATCCATTCTTTTTGTTTTCTTCTTTCTTTGTTTTAAGATTTTTGTATCCTCATTGATTTTGAATTTTTCCCTTGTTTTGTTTATTTAGATAAAAATACTAATAAAAAAAGAGCTAAACGACATGTTTTCTAGATATGGCGATTAGAATTCAGTTCACAAGCAAAACAGGGTAGTTTCCGGTGGAGGCTAACAAGAGATTTTCTATTACGAAATGATTGCTAGTAGTATCTTTTTAGCTATCATGACGCTACCAATTTCGTTTTACTTTTCCGCTTTTTGACATTTTATGTAGTGGTTGTGGATAAAGTGAAGAAAGATTTAACTCTGTACACTGAATATAATTTTCTTGCGCTGTTTTAATTTTTATCTCATATCTAATGGCAATTGCAGCAATTGAAATCTTGAATAATGAACTAAAAAGTGCGTAGTGTTTACTATTTGTTTGAACTTATTAGAAAGCAAAAAAAGTTACTGGCATAATTTCACTTTTTTTTTACACCCCCCTCCCCCCCCTTTTTTTTTTGGGTCTCTTATGCTTTCAACTTATTCTGAAAATAACTCTAAATTGGTACATCATTATGCTATTTACCAATGCTATATATCAAGGGAGATAAGCCTACTAAATTGGATTATATCTTTAAAAAAAACCTAAAATCTTACAGTGAAACCTGTTCATTTACTGCTTTCTTCCTTTCCGAATTCTAAATTGCTTTATGCCTTACTTCTCTATGCGTTGCTGGTGGAAAGAGCACATAAAGATTGGATGGTCATAAACCAGTTCATAACCGAAAATGGTTTTTCTGCTTGTGTCTACAGCTTGCTGGTAAAAAGTAGGCTGAGTCTACTGTTTCTGTTTGGCAAATGCTTATGATATTCTCTTTCCTTGTTTTAGACACCATGTGGCCACAACTTCTGCCTGAAGTGTTTTCAGAAATGGGTTGCACAAGGAAAGCGCACATGTGCAAATTGTCGCTGTCAGATTCCATCAGCAATGGCTAGCCAACCTCGAATTAACTCTGCACTGGTCATTGCCATCCGAATGGCAAAGCTAGAAAAAGCAAACGTTGCAGGGGGAGCACCAAAAGTATATCATTTTGTCCACAATCAAAACCGGCCAGATAAGGCATACACCACTGAGAGAGCTAAGAAACCTGGAAAGGCCAATGCTTGTAGTGGAAAGATCTTTGTCACAGCCCCTCCTGATCACTTTGGTCCAATTCTAGCAGAAAATGATCCTCTTAGAAAGCAGGGTGTGTTGGTGGGTGAGACCTGGGAGGATAGGATGGAATGCAGACAATGGGGCGCTCACCTTCCTCATGTAGCAGGGATTGCTGGTCAGTCAAAGTATGGTGCACAGTCAGTCGCCCTTTCTGGGGGATATATTGATGATGAGGACCATGGTGAATGGTTCCTTTACACAGGGAGGTATGTTGTAGCTGTTTGCCATATAACTTTTCTTCCATCTTGCATTATTATTGTGTTGTGATATTATTTATTAAATTATTATTATCTTGCGGTGTACAGTGGAGGAAGGGACCTTAGTGGCAATAAACGCACAAGTAAGACTCAGTCCTTTGATCAGAATTTTGAGAAGTTGAATGAAGCATTGCGACTAAGTTGTCAAAAAGGCTACCCTGTTCGAGTAGTAAGGTAGGTTCTACTGATAAAGGTCATCCTTGTTCAGAATCATTTCTAGCATATCCTAACACCTAAATAGTTAATAATTTTTGTTTCCTGTATTTAATTCCCTTGCATACTGCACACATTCTCATTTTGTTCTTTTTTCGCTCATGGTTTGATGAGAAGTACAAATCTAGGGGTTCTATGCCCAGATCTTAATGAAAGGAATGATGTTTTAGAAGTGTGAATCAATGTGAGAGAATAATGTGTTTTTGAAAGGAAAGCTGTATGTTTATGAGCATTAAGATCAGTGCACAGAATGCAGTTCTGGGTTTTCTACAAATAAAGGAACTATAATATGGCAGGCATATGTTTAAGTCACTAGTCACTAGCATTCCTCCAAAGAGGTTTATCTTCTTCCTTGGTTTCTTAATTTTTTAGTGCTCAGCAGCTGACCTAACATGCAAACAATAAAAAATGGAATTCTTGTTTTTGTTACACACAAGAGCATGCATAATGATCTGTCCTAATTCATGGGAGTGCTGATAATTATACAAAAGCTTAAAAATTAAAACGTGATATCGAAGCTTGTAAAGCAGAGTAAAATGCTACATCAGGACTTCAACGTTACTTACTTGCTATAAAATTTCAGCTGTTATTGGATAGCTGGGTATGTTACTTAGCTCTGTGTCATCCATCTTTTTGCATACATATATAAAGCGAGAATCTGGATCTTCCAAAACAAAGTTGGCAGGAAGTTAGCCCTTGTCAGTGATAGGAATAGGCTTCAAGTATGACTTTGTTGATGAACAGCCTCCAGGCCTCTCAAAATGTGAGAGAATAATCAGTTATGAACTGCAATGTATGTCATTTACAGTGCATTCTAAGATATTAAAGTGGATAAAAATCTAGTAAAACTATTACACATGAATGTAATCAACGTGTTTGCAAATTTTAGAAATATATGTTATATGTTATAAATCAACCAAGAAAAAGCAGTAGTATTCTGTGAAAAGGTGGATTATTTTCAAGATAATTAAATTAAATAATGTGTCCTTGATGCATTATGGCATGCGTGGTTTATTATTGTTCTTTTTCAACTTGTTTATCGTCCCCTGGATTCCTTGACCTTGTTGTGGGTGTTGTTTGCAAATTGATGACATGTGTCCATGTTTTATCTGTGCTGTTGCTCTGTATAATCCACAATTTAGAAGCAAGAAGTTGCTGGTCCATTTTCTTTTATTTAGAATCATTTCCCCTTTTCTTGGGCAGATCCCACAAGGAAAAACGTTCTTCTTATGCCCCAGAAGTAGGAGTACGTTATGATGGAGTTTATAGAATTGAGAAATGCTGGCGTAAAAATGGAATACAGGTAGTATGATGTCCTTGGTTATGTTCCAATAAATAGATATAGTCAATAGGTCTTGCCATCGCTAACTAGGTTTGCTCACTGTGTTGGATGTGTTAGGGTTACAAGGTATGTAGATATCTTTTTGTTAGGTGTGACAATGATCCTGCCCCGTGGACAAGGTCTGTTTCCCATCGCCTTGTCTCTTTTCTTCTATGTATGTTGCTATATGTGTAGAATAATGCCTCCAATGAATCTGCAGTGATATTCATGGAGACCGCCCAAGGCCTCTTCCTGCTATCAAGGAGTTGAAGAATGCAATTGATATAACTGAAAGGAAGGGATCTGCATCCTGGGACTACGATGTAAGCTAATGCTGTTTTATTTCACATGTTCAACAGGGTTCTCTCTCTTCAAAAAAGAAAATAAAAAAAACCCTGGTTTCACTGTTTGGTTCCAACAATATAAATTGTATCTTGGTAGAAAAGATGTTGAAATCTGTTGCAATTTAATCATAATTCTGCCTTTTGATATTGGGAATTCAGTCTGGCTCCTAGCTATGCATTCAAAATGTCCTGAAATTTACTTCTGCTTCTCAGGAGGTAAAAAGTTGCTGGATGTGGAAGAATCCTCCACCTTGTAGTAGGAAACAGATGGACGATGGAAATATTGTGGAGGGGAAGAAAAGGAGGAGAGCTGTGAAAAATTTGTCTGCTAGAGAAAAACTTCTCAAAGGTTTAGTTCTCTAATCATTTCCACAGTTACGACCTTTTTCAGTTATATTCATCTCAATATCAGATGGTTCTTTTACTTTTATGATATCAAATAACAATTACTAATGAAACTATTCTTGCTGATGGATGCTTGGCCATGTAGAGTTTAGCTGTCAAATCTGTAGGGATGTGATGACTTCACCACTTACAACCCCTTGTGCTCACAATTTTTGCAAAGCATGCCTAGAGGGTGCTTTTGCTGGTCAAAGTTTCACCAGACAGAGGACGTGTGAAGGCAGGAGAACACTTCGAGCACAGAAGAATGTAATGAAATGCCCTTCCTGTTCAAATGATATAGCTGAATTTCTTCAGAATCCTCAGGTATTAGGGGCTGTGTCAGTGTATTCTTGATTATTAGAGTGAATTTTATCCTTGCTGAATTGTCATGTGCTATCTAAGAAGAGCTCCTTTTCAAGATCCATTTGATTTTAATAATTTACACAAGGAGTGTGGTGAATGGATCTGATAGAATTGTGTACTGCAATATAAACAATTAAATGATGCTAGCTTTGTTCTTCTCTGGTCAAAATGCAATGGCAATAATAAATTGCAGCAATGAACTTTATACTAATAACATCTGGTCTACTGGCAGGTTAACAGGGAACTAATGAGCGTGATAGAGTCGCTACATCACAGAAGTGTAGTGGAGGAACAGTCTGGTGAGGCCAGGAAAGAAGTTGATAGCAGGCATGAAGAAGGAGATGCAGCTGCTGATGATACTGAAATGTTTTGCGGAAATAGTGAAATTTTGGAAAATAACAATTTGAAATCTCGTATGGAAGGTAAAGCCCAGCAAACAGACAAGTTGATGAGAGCTCCTAAGGGCGAGTCAACATTTCAAGAAAGGTCAATGCTCGAGCACCTTGACGTGGAAAAAGGTTGGAATGAAGGTGGTTCCGTTAAACCTCGAGTGGCTGACAGTAGAGGATTGCAAACCAACGCAGCAGAGCGTAAAATAAAGCAGACTAGCAAGCGGAAGAAATCAAGCAATGCAGGCAGTCCACCAATTGCAACTGTTGGTGTGATGACCAGAAGCAAAAGAGCTAAACTGATAGCTGAATGAATTTCTGTGCCTCAAGTTTACTTTTCCTTTTAGCCACCATATTTCAAGTTATGCAGCTATGGTTGTTCTCAGGGTGGACACGGTTTGAATACCAATATTTCTGTATATTATATATGTATATATATATATATTATTAATAATATAATATTATTCATATGAAGTAAATCCAAGTCCATTTATTTTTTGACAATTAGCTGTAGCACAGTTCCCTTACATTCTAACGTAAAATAAATTTAAAATATTAGTATAAGTAACTATTCCAAGTAAATAATTAAAAGGAAGATAAGTTTATAATTTCCCTTTCCAGCTGGCACAAAGTTGAAAAGATATTAAATAAATGAAAATAAAAGGAAGTACTAATTTTTCTTCTTGCTACTCATCATGGTAACTAGCTTCTCAATTCTCAAGCATGATTCTCTATTTTCATTACAAGTTTTCTTCTTCATTAGCATATTTGGTACACGGTTTCCTGTTTCTTCAAGAACAATATCCAGATATTGTCAAACCCTCTGCAGATGGCAACTGTCACACTAATAAATATCCTCTTCAATGTTATTCATGTGGCAAACTACATCCATCAAAAGGACCATGTCCTCTATAATTAAAATTCTACAATTCTATACTTGTTGTATGTAAAGGGTAAAAGTATTTGGTTATGTTATTTACAGTAACAACTATGTTCACACATTAATTTTCCAGATGAAGTGAAGACACCAATCATCTGGAGGCTAAAAGGTTTCCATGCTATACATATAAGCTAACTTAAGAAACATCACACGCAACATTCAGAGGAAACTAACAAAATTATCTACCTCAAAAATCTTTTCCTCATTTTAATTAACACAACCTCCTATTGAAGTGCGACTTCTTAAGTATCCGATTGCAATTTCTGTAGCTCAAGTTTCTCAGCCAAAGCCTTCTTTTCATCCTCGGGGAGAGAATTGAACATGAAGACAGATTTGTCACCGATATCATCCTTGAAAGCGAACAAGAGAGCATTAGAACAATGACAATTGTTGTTTCATAAAGCAAAAGCTAATCAGCTTGGACATGTCCGAACATTAATATTTGATCAAGTAATAAGGTACCTTAATGGGCTGAGTAAACTTCCTTCCAGCAAATATAACAAAGAGAGCCATCCAGGAAGCCAGTAATGTAAGTTTCACTCCATCATCCATCAAGCCAGTCTGCATTTCAAGTAAAGCTCGTCAGGAGCTTCATCAATCAGAGCTCAAACTATAATAATTAAGATGTTAAACAGTTTGATGATATGTGTTGTCTATCAATACACTGACCCGAGCCCCAACAAAGGAAGCAAAAGTAAAAAGTATCAAGTTGCAAGATAAATACCAGGTGCCCAAGAAGAACTGTCGGTATAACGAAAGTTAGAATACCAGCTTCCAACTTCCCATAGCAGAGGCCTGTTTGCAGATTAAAGCTAATGATATGAGAATGAGCTGATAGTATGCTACTAATTCACAACAATATACTATTACTATTAGGCAATTAAATGCACATATGAAGTCAGAACATACAATTTCTGTAGTAAAGCTTGACTGAATGAGAATGGGGGCTTGACTATGACATTACCTTCTTTGAAAACAAGTCCTGTCAATGAAGCAAAGAGAGGGCCGACAAACCAGACAGCCGTCGGGTTATCAACAACGTACTGCACCAAGTTCTCCCCAGCTGGTTGAGCAAGTGCTATGTACGTTGCCAATGACCCAACAACACCCAGTGCCCATAATGCTTGAAGGGTACGTTTAACCTTAGTTACATAGATGTGAATCAAATATAAGGATAGGCCCAGTCCACCGGTACTAATCACGTATAACAGATTAAGATTTTGCTCAATAATTTCTTTCAACGCAAAGTTGTCAGGCAAAAGTGCAGCAGATGCGGCAATTACAAATGATGAAGCAGCAGTCACTAAACCTGATCTGTACAAGACAACCTGCCAAGTTCCAGCTTAATATAAGGTAAGGATTTATTTCATTTCGAACAAGTTTCCACAAAATTTCATTAATAACTTAGGATCTACAGCAGCAGTATAAAAATTCATCACCTCGCGGACGTCTTCAGGATCAACGGTCCAGGGGCCATAAGCGCCTTGATAAACCGTTCGATCAATGGACCCCTGAGAGCTTTCACTCACAGCTTTGCACGTTATCTTCCCATTTCTAACTCCAACCTTAAACAACGATGACGATGAGCAGGAAGATAGTTTCTGGGAGCTCGTTGAGGGCTTAACTCGGGATTTGTTAAGTGTGGTAGGAGGCGTGACTAAGGTTGTCAACAACACGCGCGACGCCATAACCATGGGGCTCGGGCTGGCTCGATTTCGTTCTCGTAATTAATTAATTTAAAATTTTTTTTTCTGGTCCTGTAAACCTTTTGAAATCATGCCGGGCCTACTGGAGTTGTTTAAAGTGTGCTGCTACTGGCTGTTGAATGAATTCGATAAATCTCGAGATTACATTTCATGCTTATCTGTTTCTAACAGCGAGTATTCGTATTTTATACTCGCATGAAGATTTTTTCTTCAAAAAATCTCGTTAATATTTTGTAGTTAACATCGTTTAGTCGTGTGTTGAGATGGCCGAGTTGGTCTAAGGCGCCAGATTAAGGTTCTGGTCCGAAAGGGCGTGGGTTCAAATCCCACTCTCAACAATAAAGTTTTCTTAAAATGGGCCAAACGAAGTTTGTTTAGAGCCCACCAGTAATTGGCTCTTTAAATTCATAAGCCCATCCTTAATTAGGTGTGCAAATACATATATGAGCTTGGGCCTACAAATTTAGCCCGCGCCCTGCAACATAGAAAAGGTTCATAAATTAAAAATATTTTCTTTTTAATTTTTGGATAAATAATCCATTTGGTCCCCCAAATTTGATGTCACTTTCATTTCGGTTCTCAAGTATTAAATCTTGCTTTATTATATGCCTGACCTTTGATTTTATATGCCCGACCTTTGATTGAAATGTCATTTCAGGGTATAAAGGTAAAGTTTCTTTTTCCTATTTTATATTATTGACATCATATTTTTAAAGAGGATTCGGCTAATGGTGCTATAAGCAATTTTTAAAATTATTTAAAATTTGTTTTTAAAAATATACTTTTTTTATTTAATATATTATTCTCATCAAATTTAAGAACTGACAATAGAGTAATTGTAATTTTTGTTTATAAATATTATCTTAACAAGTACTTATAAATATTCTTTAACATTTTACCTTTTAAAGATTATTTTGGGAATCATTAAAAATTATATATATATATATATATATATAAATAGATAGGGGTATGGCATTGGATACAAAATCAACTCGTATATTAATAGATAAGGGTATGGCATTGGATACAAAATCAACTCGTATAAGATTGAACCAATATATTGATTGTTTTACGTGGGCTTGTGTGTGTTACACATATCTTTTTTTTTTTTTTTTTTTTTGCAATTAAATTGGGTATATAATAAGTTAAATTTAAAGACAATTGTTAACTAAATATAATGTCATAGGGACTTCAGGTGCTCTATTTTGGATCGTATTAATTGGTTGGTCAAGTAATAATATTCCTTCGGATGTGTAATTCTATACTCATTCTTCTTATCCGTCATGATCAACTGAACAAATTAAAACATTCGCAATTAGAAGGTGACCATCATGCTGAGATCCCAGCACATTTTCTCATTTTGGATCGTTGGATATGCTTCAACATTTTTGGAACCGTTAGATGCTTTTGCTGCCGAGGTAAGCGCCCGGGATGAAGGTAAATCAGACCGAGGAGTTCAAAAAACACCAACAAAGGAGAGACGGGGAAAGGGGGACACCGGAGCACCGAAATCCGACCGGTCTAAAACTGTATTCGCCATTGTTTGCTTTTCGTCTTCACCAGAAAAAATCTCAATTAAAGTGGTCACCGAAAAGAAGGCCCAACCTTTGACCATGACTTCGCTGGTATTATTTTCCATTTCATGCTCAAAACGACGCTAAAATCTACCCTCTCAGACTCAAATTGATTCACTTTCTCCTTTCCTTTTTGTCACGCATGTCCTTTGCAATCATCCTTTTATGATTTTTGTTTCGAAACCCTTTTTTTCTCTACCGCACGATGAACAGAGAAAATTAAATTTGTTCCCCACTTTTGCAGAAAACAAAAAGGCCAAAAAAAACAAGAGAAGCCCAAACCCCACCTAACACCGATTTCCATCAAATCAGTTGCAGCTAAGAAGAAACATAGGCCAAGCCTTTCATGTGCATGCGGGCAGAGCCTGATATTTCCAAAACGCTCAATAGTAATCAGGATAGATCATAATTGTACTTTTTTTTTTTTTTATGGAGGGCGAGGGAATCAAAAAGCAAGCAGGCAAAGAGCCGAAGCCGCAAAATTTGACGTCGGGAAGCCGAAAGCACGGGACGCCACGTCACGATCCAGAGGAATGGTCCCCTACAAAAAAGGTTCTTTCCTTGTCGTCATCTCGTGGCATTGGGAAGAGGAGCGGCCGATCACGTCATATTTCACGCGGCTTACGTTAGGCTCTTTTTTGGACTTTCAATTATTTATTTATTTATTGTTAAAAATGAAGAAGCTTCGCTTATATTTGTCGGCTTGTGAGTTCCTGGGCTTTGGACGATCTGGGGTGGCCCACTAACGTTCGCTTTCTGGAGCAACTTGGCCAAGGCCCACTGCTGCTTCTGCATGCGTTTTGCTTAAAGTTCATCATCAACACCGAGGACGCTTCCGCCAAACAAAGAATTAATTAAAAAAAAAAACAGGCAAAACACGAACAGGGCTAAATCCCACCACTTTACACTCTTTTAAAGATCAATACAAACAATGATATAGCTTAGAAAGAGATTGGGTTTGGCCCCCGTGTCCCAAAGCATGCAAATTCTGTGCTACGATATTATTATTTAATATTGAAAGAATATTCTTGATCAATGTTTACTTCACTTCCAACCTTTGGTGTGTGGCAAGTGTGTGTCGTGTTGCCCCACTTTGGTAAAGAGGAACAAACGAGTCACGGGGACGGGACAAAAAACAAGTCACTGCCGTCCAATGTGGGAGGGTTTAAAAGGAATATTCAAGGTAAAGGTACTAGTTCATGCATGAGGATGATGGTGCTAATAAATGGGATAATGGCATGTCACTATTTTGGTTATGGTTTTTATCAAAGAAACCATGATTAGTGGACAGTTTTTTGATGAGGATTAATATGTCATACTGATTTGATTAAAGGAAAAGCCAAAAATGCAGGCGCCATCAATATTATATATATAATATTCCTCCACATATCTTTGACATATATTTCAAGTCACGCCCCAACTTTTGATTTTGATTGACAGTAAAAACGTCATTAAATGCGACCAAGATTTTTGCCCCGCTTCATCATAATCAAGACGGTGGCTTACTCATTATTCCTCATATAATTATCGCAGTTGAACGCTTGTGTTGCGCCTCGTTGACATGTCGAGCCTTTCGCTCCATCCTCCACCGCAGTTCCTTGCTTAAAAAAGAAAGATACGGCGCACGAGAAAATTATAAGCCAATGGGAAATGCTAATGTTTGCCTCCAAATTACTGCTTTTATTGTCCTTTTGCCCATGTTCGCAGAGTTGCTTTCAAAACCCATCTCCAAAGTGACGACCACGTTCTATGGAAAAATCGCATACCCTACATTTCTATTAATAGTAAATAATTGAAACGAGTCGGCATAAAGACTTTTCGCTTTCTTTTACTCGTGCTCTTCTTCTTCTTCTTCTTCTTCTTCTTCTTCTTCTTCCCCTACTACTACTAGTACTAATCTTTTCTTTCACTCTTTCCAACTACGGGCCATGTGTATCCAACCAATTAAGTCAAAACTAAGATTTGCTTCACCCTTTCTTATTCGCCAAGTCCAACAACCGTTGATTTGGTTAACTCCCGAGGGGCTGCTTCCTGGGCACAGTCAAGAAAGTCAACTACCGCACATGGTTCTGTAGTTTTAGCAACGGAGGAAAAATTAAAGAATTTTAAAATGAAAAAAATATTTGATATAATGATAGTTTATAATTTTTATACATTATACGTTATTAAATTTTGATACTTTATTTTTTTTTTGAAAAATAATAGTAATATTAGTTTTTCAAAAAAGAAAAATTAACAGGATTAATTCTAATACACAAAGTTGCACAACTTTCCAAAGTGTAGCAAAGACTCAAGCTCGGGAGGTCTCACGAAACAAAACAAATACAGAGAAGAGGTAAACAAGCCTCGATCTTCCCAAGCTCAGAAAATAATGAGGTATTATTTTTGAAAGCAATAAAAAGTTGATATTAAAACTTGATTTCATTTTGAGACTTTATTAATCTTTTACTTTTTTCAAAATAATATCTCGTTAATAAAGTGTAAGAATTTGATAACTTGTTCATGTGTAAAAGTTATATATTGTCAGTACATCATATATTAATCTTTTTAAACTATGCATAAACAATGGAGTATAGAAAATTCCGATGCATGCAATCCCTTTTGAAAAGAATAATCAATTTTCTTGATTCCATTTTACTTGTGCATCTCATTATGGTCATGGATGGATGATGGTGCATGCTTAATTAATTTAATGCTGAGGTCTTGACCCTCAAGAGAATTGGATGCGAAGACCGCCACCTTAGCTCAAAAGGATTAGGTAAATACTACCATAATAAGCTGAGAGAAAAAAAATAATAATACTATCATAATAAGGCACTTTTCAACAAAGTTAAGTGTAACTTTATCTTTTGAAAATAGGAATAAAAGAGTAAAAGACAGTCACAGGCGTGTTGAAATATAGATGAACTCATTTGAACGATACAAATA